CTATATATTTTTTTTTTTTTTGGCTATTAAAAAGAAAAATGGGTGGAGCCTGGGCGGTGGCAATTGCTCACCTTCAACTCCAGCACTCCAGAGTCAGGGGCAGGCAGCTCTCTGAGTTTGAGATCAGCCTGCTCTACAAAACAAGCTCCAGGATGGCCAAGGCTACACAGAGAAACTGTCTCAACATGACAAAACAAAATAAAACAAAACAAAAGAAAAAGAAAGGGGGCGCGTGCCGTGGAGGCAGCTCTGTTGTGAAATGGATAAGATGCTTGCTGTGTAAGCAGAGGACTAGTGTCAGATGTCCAGAAACTGGGGCCAGATATGGTAGCACAGGCCTTTAATCCCAGGGAGGCAAAGGCATGCAGAGTAATCTACACAACAGAACCTGTCGCCAAAATAAATAGAATAAAGAAAATAAAAGAGCTTATGGGTGTGCATGCCTATAACCCCAGTGCTTAGAGCAGTGAGGGTGGAGACAAGTGGGCTGCAGGGCTGACATCAGTCTAACTGAAACAGTGAGTTTCGGTTAGGCAAGAGACCCTCAGAAAATAAGGTGGGGGTCAGAGAGATGGCTCAGCAGGTTAAGGAGCTTGCCGCTAACACTGAGTGTGACCCGAGTTTGAGCCCTAGGACCCTGTGGTGGAAGGAAAGAAATGCCTTGTGAACACTCTTCCCTGGCCTCCACACCCATGTGGCATGTGCACACACACAAATAAGTAAATAAATAATAATATGTTTTAAAAAATAAAGCGGAGCGGCAATTGGTCTTGGCACCAACCTTTGTCCCCCACGGGTGTCCACAGGCGAGCACACCCTCACACACGTGTACACATGCCAAAGCAGAGGAGCAGGGTCTGGAATGCAGCCCCCTGGGTTCAAGTCCGGTGCTGAAAACAAAAAAACAAAAGCGAACTGAGGCAGGAAAAATCAGTATTATGATTAGTTTTGATGTCGACTTCCACAAATTGGAATCACAGGAGGAGGGGAGGAAGGAGCCATAACCTGAAGAACTGCCCCGATGGCTGTGACAGCTGAAGGAAGATCTGCCCTAACAGTAGGCAGTACCTTTTGGTAGCAGCCCAGGTAGAAGGTGCATGGTGGGGAAAAGATGTCACCTTTTTCTCTTTGGCCTCTCCTTTTGCTGAGGAGTTTTTTTACACTATGTCTTAGTTGGGGTTTTCATTGCTGTGAAGAGACACCAAGACCATGGCAATTCTTATAAAGGAAACATTTAATTGGGGTGGCTTGCTTACAGTTTCAGAGGTTCAGTCCATTGTCATCATGGTAGGGGGAGCATGGTAGTGTATAGGCAGATGTGGTACTGGCTACATCTTGACTCTGAGACAACAGGAAGTCAACTGATTGTCACACTGAGGAAAGCTTGAACAAAAGAGACCTCAAAGCCTGTCCCCACAGTGACACACTTTCTCCAACAAGGCCACACCTCCTAATAGTGCCACTCCTTCTGGGGGCCATTATTTCAACACACCCTGTTGCTGCTGATCCCTTCACTGACATCAGAACCAGTGTTTCCAGGCATTTGTGATGAATTAAGGACCAGTGGCTTCCGGATGGGGACCGCCAGTGTGACTCAGCTGCTGTTACTATTTTAACACAGGCTTCCTCTCTCTCTCCCTCTCCCTTTCCCTCTCCCTCTCTCTCTCTCTCTCTCTCTCTCTCTCTCTGTGTGTGTGTGTGTGTGTATCCTATCAATCACAAATTAAGGTAACCCCCCGGGATATGAGAGGGGAGGGGATACAGGGGATAGGAGGGAAGGGGACAGGACACCTGGTGAATGTCACCTTTCTTCATATGGTGAGATCTGCTCCCAGCACAACTGGGAAAGATGCAAATCACTGTATGAATCAGGGGTAATCTGTGTGGTTCAAACCATTGTTTGGTTTTTCCATCACCATCAGAAACACCTGACAGATACAGTTTAAAGGGGAGGGGTTACTTTGGCTCACAGCTTCCGTGATTTCAATCCACCATCTGTGGATCTATTGTTTCTAGCCACGCAAAGCAACACTTCACAGCCTAAGAGAGCTGCTTTCATCAGGACAGCCAGGAAGCAGAGAATGCCGGGCCAGGGCACGACATGTTCCCAAGGGCACACCTCTAGTGAACTACTTCTTAGTCATGCTCTGCCTTTGAAGTTTCCAGCATGTGCCTACATAGCATCCGAGCTTGAGAGGGACAGTTCACATTCAAGCCAGATAGTCACAGAATACAGGGAACATCCCAGAGGAAGGCGAGCCTGAAAGGTCAAAAGGAAATACAGAAATATGGGTGGATCACTTGCGGGTGCTTTCTCCTACGTTCTTAGACCAATCTTGCTGAGTCCCATGATTTATTTAATATTGGTGTTATGGTGTTGAATGGAAAAGTTGTTTCTCTAGTTCAGCACAGTGGTTACCTCTCTCAGAGCTGAGTCTTGGCAGCCCAATGAATGGCATGTAAGTTGTCAGAGCTGCAATCAGCATGGTGGACACAGAGGTTGACCACCCACCCCACTGGAGGCTGGAAGGAGTTGGAGATCCAAGCCTCCCTACGAAGGCACTGCAGCCACATGTGCTACACCTTTCTTCTGGCTCCAATTCCTTCAGTGTGGGGACATCGCTCCAGTCCTCACACATTTTCCTCACACAGTTACTCTGCAGTTTCCCCTTCATGACGCTACCATTCATATTACAGTAGGAGCCCAACCTCTTTGGTATAAGTTCATCCTAACTAATTACATCTCGGTGACAATATTTCCAAATATCATCACATTCTGAGGTACTGAAGGTTAGAATCTCAGCATACAGAAATGGACCCTGTGCAGGGCTCTTCCCTGTAGTGTTGGTTGATAAAGCTGACTCACCTGCTGGGAGCTGCTGTCTATCAGTTCTTAGCCAGGCTCCTAAGTGTTCAGGAGAAAACAGTAGTCACAAGACCCAAGAACCAGAACGCAGGGGGCTCTGGTGTCTCCCTTTCAGAAAGAGACAGAAAGTTCAGGGTAGGCTGACTATGTGTTCAGTGTTACACAGCTCAGCAAGAGGCAGACCTACACTTTCCGAGCCTCAGAGTCAGTAGTCTGTGGCTTCTCGAACTTCACCTTGTCATTCTTTCTCAAAAAAGAAGACGACAGGGAATGAGGTGTGTGTGTGTGGGGGGGGCATAGATGGGAAGAAGGAAGCAAGATTCTATCATTCAAAAACAAAAAGGGTTTGGGGCTGGTGAAACTTTCAGTGGGTGCTTGCTTGCCACCAAGCCTGAGGACCTGAGTTTGATCCCTTGAACCTACATGCTGTAAGGAGAGAATGGACACAAGTATATTGTCCTTTGATCTTCATGTGTATACACACACGCACACACACACACACACACAGAGGCAGAGAGAGAGAGAGAGAGAGAGAGAGAGAGAGAGAGAAAGGTATTTCAGGGCTGGGGAGGTAGTTAATTTGGTAAAGTACTTGCCTAGGGTAGCCTTGGGTACCATCTGCAGCATACATGAACAGGACTTGTAAGTCCAGTGCTTGAAAGGTATAGACAGGACCAGGAGTTCAACGTCACCCTTTAAGTAACAAGTTTGAAGCCAGCCTGGGTGTTGTGGGAACTTGTCTCAAACAAACAAAAAGAAAAGGAGGAGGAAAAGATAAGTGTAGTGTTTTAGTGGGGACTGAAGGAGGGCCACTCCTTGGTTTCAAGCATCCCTCCACAAACCAGTACCTGTGGCAAAAGGGGCCTGACTGGTCTCATATCTTATAGCAGCTTGGACTGAGGGACCTTGTTATCCATGACTAGTAAAGTAAGATGTTAATCTGGAGAAAAACATATAATGGAGGATTTCGGTAAGTATTAATGTGGATCATTTCCTGAGTCACCCAGAGCTATGTGTAGGGACAGGTCGTTGCTCCCAGCTCCTGGGTGAACGCCACTCCAATGCCAAGACCAGCTCTACCTCCAAGTCATATCTCGGGGAGGGGGGGGGGCTTCACTGTTGCGCTTCACCCCAGGGAAAACAGACCTTAGTCCCTGGATAATCGCTCCAGCTCCGCGGGGCCCCCAGGACACGCAGCATCGGATTTCGCGTGGTAGCCCAGCTTCCCTTACTCGTATTCCCTCCCGCCTGAGAAAGCTGGAGCCAATCACAGAGCTGCACAGCTCCGGGTTGTAGAGTCCGGAGCCCGGGACCCGCCCCTCTTTGTTGAGGTGTCCAATGGACGCATCCAGAACATCGGCGGCTGCCCGGGTGACTCGGTTATATGTCACAGAATAATATTCGAGAATGGGACATGGAATGAGGCAACGGCCGACGCAGTTCCAGGAGCCCTCTGCAGCAATGAGGCCAGCAGGCTCGAGGTGGGTCCTCGTGCCCCGCGCGTGCCCTGACTGTCCGCAGCTGCCACTCCCAGTGTCCGCGCGGGACTCTCGGGAAGGGGGCGGTGCTGCGCTTGCCCGGGAACCGCGGCTGGAGCCGCCCCTCGCGCGCCAGGGTTTGGGGGGCTTCCGGGAAGACGCCAGGCCTCCTCAGCAAGCAGAGGTTGCTGCTGCGCCCTCGCGCCAGCTCCGGGTGCTCACGTGCCAGCTTTCTGTGGGTCGGTGGCAATCCACCACATCTGGGAACCCAGGGATGAGTGAAGCCTGGAAGGGACCCCCGTGTCTTCTTGCTACACAGCTGTCTTGCTTCTTCCTACCCCGTCCCCTCTGCACCCGTGTTCCTTGCATGCCTCCCCATCCCCGGGTGCAGCTGGGTGTGAGTCTTCGTGGCCCCTTTCCAGCCGTCTTGCTAGGTAATCCGCTAGGCTAGAGGCTCGCTTTAGTCCTAAGGGGATGGGTCTGGGGCAGCGAAAAGGGGGTGGGCGGGAGCCCCCTTGCCTGTCTACTGTGCCGCAGTGTGTGCTGTTTCCACTGCTTTCAGGGCCGGCCTTTGAGCGGGGAGTTCCCTTAGCAAGTCCTGCAGACACAAGAGATGAAGGACACCCCCGCGGTGCTCTGATCCCCTGTGCACCCAGGTCCCCCGCCGCGTGCCCCTCACCATGACCGGCTCCGCCACAGACACTCATCGCTGCCCCCACCCCAAAGGCGCCAAAGGCACCCGGTCCCGGAGCAGCCACGCACGGCCAGTAAGCCTCGCCACCAGTGGGGGCTCGGAGGAGGAGGACAAAGACGGCGGGGTGTTGTTCCACGTGAACAAGAGTGGCTTCCCGATCGACAGCCACACCTGGGAGAGGATGTGGCTGCATGTTGCCAAGGTCCACCCCAAAGGGGGAGAGATGGTGGGTGCCATCAGAAACGCTGCCTTCCTGGCTAAGGTCAGTGGCGTGGCTGGGAGAAGGCGGGATGGTCCGGATGGGTAGGATGGAGACGACTCAGGCAGTGCAGAACAAGGAGATGCGACATCATGTCCAGCCACGATTCCTGTCTTCCTGTTCCGCTGCCAGGCAGGGGCAGGCAGGGGGATGCTGGCTTGGCCTTGTAAGGTTAGGCAGAGCCAAAATCCATTATGTACTCAGCCCCTGTAACATCGGTCGTCTTCATCAAAAAACTAATGTCACTAGACACTCCAAGAAGGCATAGAACCCCACGTCCACCCCGCCTGCCCTCCATGGAGTGTATCGCACCTCCCCTGTTCCCCTACCAAATGATTTATGGAGCCGTGAGTGAATTTGTAATCAACCAGGCGGACTCCTCAGCTGAATCATCTCCAGACTTTTTTGCCAATTCCCCCCCCCCACCTTTTTTTTTTTTTTTTTTTTTTTTTTTTTTTTTTGTGACAGTGACTTTTACCTCTGGAACTTGCAGAAAACAGTGAACTGTCTCTTCCTAGCTTATGTGGCGCCAAGGGAAGCATTTGGCTGTGGCTTAAAAGGGACTTTCCAGTAAATGGGATGAATTAGTGTCTCCCCCCTCCCCCCCTCTGTGCCCCATCCCCCCCAAAGGAAGAGGCCAAGCGAAGTTCTCTTTTTACTCTGGAGGGCAGCCAGCCAGCAGCTGAGCTTGGTGGCCAAGGATATGGTTACACAGAGAAGATGTTCCCTGGTGGGAATGTCCTGTTATATAAAATGCAAGCTAGGTGAAAGCCTGTGCCACTGTGGAGATGGTTCCCTGGACCCTAGGGACCGTGTTTGCAGAGAAGGATCCAAGAAGATGCAGGAGTCACACACCTGAGATTCCAGAGCCATGTCATAGTCAATCCCTAGCCTGAGCATGCAAGACTGCAGACTTGAAGGCTGTGTGCGCCCTTGGGGAAGTGGAGGAGGTGCTCTGCTTTCCACTCCATAGTGTTTTATTACTTTGCTAGTAGGGAATTCATTCTGTCCAAATAGCATCTTACCTTCGCCAGCATAATGATCCCTGCTTTTGAACACAGACAGTCCAGGCTTTGAGTTCATCTTTCTCTGTTTACCGTGATCCCCAGTCTTTAAACATGGAAGAGTTGGCTGGAGGGGGCAGAGGCTGGATACCACTGTCTGGGCTGGCTTTCTGGTTCCTGCACCTCCTTCGTTGTGCCTTCATCTTTACCCCAGCTCTACGTGCGGGAGCCCTTCTCTGTGTGGACAAGCATCAGGTCTTAGTATTGCTGAAGATGTCTCTTACTCAAGACCTCCTCAGAGGGCATTAGTTCAAGACAGTGGCACCCAGCCTCTGTTCTTTATGGCCCCTTTTCCTTCCCCATCCTCCTCCTTTTTCTCCTCATCCCTCATCTCCCTCTTCCTTGTTTTCTTTTTCCTCTTCATTCTCTTCTTCCCCACATCAGTCTGCTCTCTCTGGACCTCAGCTCATTTGCCACCAGGCAGTCCCCTACACAAACAGATGAGATGCAGGATCCCAAGTGTTGCTGAGGTGATGCACCCAGTATTATAGCCGAATGCTTCCTTTTTATAAAAGAATGTTCCAGTCAGGCATGGTGATGAATTCCTGTAGTCATAGCACTCAGTAGGGAGAGGCAAAAGAATTACAAGTTCCAGGCCATCTTGGGCCCCACAGTGAGTTCAAGGCCAGCATGGAATGTATAGTAAGATTCTGTTTCAAAAAAAGAGATTGTTCCTGTATCTTATAAGTATATTATATGTATCATACTGTATTTTCATTGTAACCCAAGATCCTCCTGACAGTTGCTGATAAGTCAGGAATTCTCTAGCCCAGTGCAGGCCATTATCTGCTTTAGATTTGTTGTTTTTGGTATTTGTGTTTGCTTTCTTGTTATTACTTTTTTAATCTTTAAAGATTTATGGGTGTTTTTCCAGCATGTGTGTCTGAGCTCCATGGGCACGAGTGCCCACAAAGGTCAGAAGAAGGTGTTGGATCCTCTAGAACTTGAGTTAACAGGCAGCTGTGAGCCACCATGAAGGTGCTAGGAATTGAATGGTCCTATGCAAGAACAGCCACTGATGTTCTCCATGGACCTCTAGTCATCTTCCTGAGCACTGAATCTTAATAGTTGTATTCTCTACCCCCGACTCCATCATGGCATCTCCTGGCTTCAATAGCCCCCAAACCCCGGCTCCTGCCCAGGCACAGGCATAGAGTTCTCAAGCTGCTCTGCCAGAGGCCATTCCTCTCCAACTCCAGACTTGGCAGTCTCTCTTGGGTCCAAGTTTTTCTTCTTTAGCCAACACCACACTGTGAGGAATTTGTAACAAAGGTGGGTGGTCGACAGTGCTGAAAGATTGCTGAATTTGGGTAAGATTAACTACTTTATCAATAGACTATGAATTGAGGCAAGACAGTATTTTGAGCAAGTTCCCAGGGTCTATGAGGCATGGATGACAAGTCCTTCAACTACAGGATGCTCTGTTAGGGGCTGTAATAAGTTCTGCCTGAAGGTCTGGGTATTCTCTTGGGAGCAGGGATGGGGGAGGATGGGGTGGGGATAGGGACATCACTTGAGAATGTGACTGCGTTCTTCTCCACTTGTGGTTGCTGAGACTAAGTGAGCACTTGACCAGGCTCCTACTGGGATAATTTAAGAAAATATAGTGTCATTGGAGTGACTCGAATGGGCAGAGAGTGACAGGTGCTGAGGAGCAACTGGCTCTTGCAGGTCTGTCTCTCATGTGTCCTGGTGCCTAGAGCCACGCTCTGCTGAGGCCAGACACCAGGGCGGCTCAGCCGGAAAGGCCACTTGGTTTTTTGCACACCCCTCCCCCCCCCCCGTGTGTGTGTGTGTGTGTGTGTGTGTGTGTGTGTGTGTGTGTGTGTGAGATTTTCACAGTCATTCCAAATTTGGAAAGAATTCACATTAGCGGGCTGAGATCTGAAGTGTGAGCAGGGATTTGAGATTCCTGCAGGCTGTGCCCCTGCATGCTGTGCTTGCTGGACACTTCCTCCGTTCTGTGGCCTGGATTCAGAACTATCTGGATCTTCACAAGGTCTGACTCCAGGACATCTGTCCCAGACTGAAGGCTGGGCCCTTTGATGCAGGAGCCTGGGCCATCCTGGGATTATGACTGTTCATGCTACTCCTCCCCGGTTTCCAGGACGTTCCTGCTGTCTGTGCAGTAAAAGACATGCTTTGGTTTCTGCCTCGTTTTTGTTCAAGGTTGCTCAGGTCGGGGCTCCTTGCTGTCTCCCTGGCTCCAGGCCTGGTTTCCCCTCCCCTTCTTCATGGCCATACCAGTCACACATCTGTATCCACCTGTGGCCTTCCCTCTTTCCTTCCGTCAGCTTTCTTGTTTGGCGAGAAGAAAGTGGAGAGGCCAGCTGCCAGAGTCTTGCCCGTCTCATTATTCTTCCCTGCCTACCCCATACCCTCTTTTTCCAAGTCCTTGGAGCTTCCTCGCCAGCACTGGATCTGGCTTCCAGGACATGGCGACTAACAGGAAGGATGGAGAATGACATTTGTGTTTATTAGTGAACATAACCTTTTCTGGAGAGCTGTCATTTGCATTTCTCCTTCAGTGAACCACTTTTTGTGACCTTACTTGTTTATCGTGGTAAGATATGTGACACATGACCTACCTTTTAACCATTTGAAGTGTGTGGCTTCCATAGTTTGCAGTCTTAATGCCCTAAAGACCCACCTGATGAAGGCTTAAGCCCCCAGCCTAGGATGCTTTTAGGTGAGGCCTAGTAGGAAGGATTTATGTCATTAGGGAGCGTGCCCTAGAATCGGGACAGTGACTTCCCCTCCCCCTCTCATTTCTTGGATTCTGTGAGGTGAACAGACCTTCTCTATCACATGCTTTCTCCACGGTGTGCTGCAGGTCCAAAGCTGTCGGTGTGAGTGACCATGAGCTGAAAACTCTGAATCTGTGAGACAAAATCAACCTTTGTTCTTTATAAGCTGGCTGTCTCAGGACCTTTGTTACAGCCATAGAAAGTTCTGTGACATAATGGACATGCACATGGTTATGCCCCCATCCCAGCCCTCACCGTCAGAACCTTTCACTTTTCCTGTAACTTAGGCACTAAATACCCACTACCCAGTGCTTACTCCCAGGCAATCACTCTGCATTTTGTCAGTGAGGCTGACCACTCTAGGAACTTTATACATGAAGAATTACATGGAGTTTGCCTTTAGCACGGTTTTGTGTGTGTGTGTGTGTGTGTGTGTGTGTGCGCACATACACACCAAGACACACATTCAGAGGTCAGATGGTGAGGGTCTCTTCCCACCATGTGGATTCAGGGATTGAATTTAGGCTTGGTGGCCAAGGCCTCCTGCTGAGTGAGCTACCTCCCTGGCCCAGTATTGGCTGTTTTGAGGTTGGCTTACTTCATGGTTCATCCACATTTCAGTGTGTCCCCAGAAAGTGCCTGCTTTTGAAAACTAAACTAGCATCTCTCTATGTTAGGATAGACTTTTGTTTATTGTGTCCATCCTCAGGCACTGGGCTGGCCTAATGAGCTTTCTTATCACTATGCAGTCTCCACAAATGAAGGATACCACCTCCTCACCAGCATGTGCTGAACTTGACAATGGAGTAATGTTCTTATCTCCTATTGGGCAGGAAGACATCCTCAGGAAATGAAACCTCAGGGTTGCATATCTAGGGATCATGGTCCCTGCTGATTCCAAGCCTCACTGGTCCAGCTCTGGAGAATGTGTTACTGATGGATGGATAATGGCACTGCTACACCTGTGTGCACCACGTGTGGCCCACACCTGCTTGCATTTTCATATAGTTGCCAGGGCAGCTGAGGTAGTGTCCTTGCTTTATCTGCATGCGATGGAGGCTCTAGGGGTCCTGTTGTGTGACAAGGGGCTACAGTAGGGATTTGAACCATTGTGTTCATTTCATCATTATACCTCAGGGGCCCTTCTGGTGTATACTCCAGATCCAGCAGGAACATTGACTGCCTAAGGTGTTGTTTGAAGTTGCCCCAGGCTGAGCCGCAGCCAGCTTACTTAACTTCAGCCTATGACACCTTCCGCTGAGCACCTTGGCTCTCTTCACCACAGCCCTGCTCCAGCCCACATGGGGGAACACTTACATTTGTCCTCCTACTTTGGAGCAAATGTGGCCACAGCCAGCTGAGGTAACTGCAGCTGTTTTCTGAATCCCTTGGGCACCGTTGGTTGCTATTCTGAGACCCAGCTGCCTTCTGAGTCTGGCTTCACACCCTGCTCTATGGGTTCCAGGGGCTGGAGGAAGGGCAAAAATAACTCTGGTGTGCTCCAAAGAGGAGTCTGAGCAAAGCCATGGGCTCCAGGGCCGGGGCTCGCTGTCTCACGTCCCGAGCTTCCTGACTCTGTGATGGAATCTCTGTCTCCCATCCTTCTCTGCTCCCATTTTCCTGCTCTGTACCTGGTCTAGCACTTACAACAACATGGAGACACCAAGGGTGGGTCTGTTCTTCAGCCTCCTTCTCTTCTCACCTCTCTTTGAAACCTCCCATTTGTTATGTAGGTTTGGTAGACATGTGGGTGTTACTGTGAGAAAAAAAAAAACAAGGAATCTCAACACTTACTAGAAGTGTTGGTTGGACAGAGAATTCATGTGTGAGTTTGTATGTGAGAAACTGTTTCTGTGGGAGTGTGTGTATGGGGGGGGGGGGTCATGGGAACTTTGCCGTCCAAAGTGACTCTCCCCGGCAGGGAGTTTGAGTTGAGGTGTTAGAGAAAATGTGGCCTGTAGAACAGTTGGGCTGTGTGTGCCCACACAGCCGTGCTCTTGCTCACACATACGGCACCTTGGCTTGCATGTGCCAAGTGTGACTGCTTCCCGTCTAGCTGAAGGGACAGTTTCTATGAATTTAGAATGTCTCAGAGCCAAGGCTGAGTAAAGGCACTGAGAGGAAACTATCATCAGGGAACGTTTTCAGGAAATGTTGCGCAAGTGTGGAAAGAGTTGGCTACCGCTTAGAGTACCAGGCTCATGTCTCACTGCACACTATGGAGTGAGTGCCTGGAGAGCCAGGCACTCCTTCAGTGCGGTCTGGCTCTGTTGCCCAGCTAGGCTGTTCTCATTCTAGCAGCTTCCTGTTTTACTATCACTTTCCCCTTCCATTTGCAGAGCTGGCCCTGTTTTCCGCAAGGATGAGGCTAATCTTTCCTCTTGCTGTTTTTTACTCCTTTTGAAGAAGCTAATGGCTAGGGGAGCCTCCTCCCTGAATCCTGCACTCATAGGGACCACGTTTCTTAGTCACCAGTGACATAGCCCACCACAGACATGGAGAAGATGGAGTTCTTAATGAGTTCCTGTCTGGCAGGTGTCCTGGTGTTTTGGGAGTGGTTTGGTTGAGGGCTGACTGTAGGCAGTTGGGGAATGGGAGTTGGCTGGGCTGCCATGAGGATGCCTCATGAGGTCAAGGCACAGTACTTATCTAGGGAGAGTTGGCAAGAGTCCTCACCTTGCACACAGAAAAGGGCTCAGGAAGGGAAACTATGGGCATGTGAGGTGTGTGATGTTAGAAATGGTGCCCACGGCTGGTCACCATCCTTCTGAAGTTACTAATCATGGATACCATTTGCCTCGTATCCTGTGTCAACGACGTTCAAGAAGGGGGCATATACACTGGGGGCCACTATTAGCCATTCTGCAGAATGGTCCATGCAACAATAATGCTGGGATTGGTGAAGCACCTTGGGGTCCCATCCTGGGCCAGTCACAGTGGGATATTCCATAGGATGTGGTCCCTGGCCTCAAGAAGGCAGAAGGGCCTTAGAGAACCATGGCCCAGAGTGGAGTATGTTTGGAGGGGGCTTAGAGGGCCCTTCAATGGTGGGCCAGCTGTCTTGGGAGATTCTGTGGGGGAGCTGCCATGGCTACTGGTGACTATACCAAGTGAGTGTCTGCTTCCAGGAGCAGCTCTCCCTCATGTCTGCTTCAAGAGCTGTGCTTAATAACAGGAATCCTCCTCTCTCTATCTCTCCATAGCCTTCAATTCCCCAGGTCCCCAACTACAGGCTGTCCATGACGATCCCAGACTGGCTCCAGGCCATTCAGAATTACATGAAGACACTACAGTATCCTTTCTGCCAGGAGCTGAGCACCCCAGACAAGGGATGGGCTTTGTGATCACAACTTTGGTGGCATGTTTGTCTCCAGCTGGTTGTCCAAAGCTCTCTAAGGTTGGAGGACATTGGAGGGGATCCCTGGGAAAGAGCCTACAGCATACTTGATAGCAGAGACCAGAATGACCAGGGCTTGTCCCTCAAATGGAGCGGTAAGGTTGGTTCACTGTGAGCCTGTCACTTCTCTTTTCCATTCCTTCCCACTTTTCCCCATTTCTTAGTTGTCTTTGTTTCCTTCTTTTCCTACATGGTCAGCTCTCTCTTTCCTTCTCCCCTCCTTAGGAATGATGGGATAAAAGAGTAGGTCATTGAATCTACTTTTAAACTAAAAAGCAACCACTAGTCTTAAATATTTTAGATTGGAATGGATGCTTGTATATTGATACAGATTTAATGTAATGCTGTATATGTCTCTATTCTTGTTTAAGACATTGTACCTGTGCAGCTCAAAGGTATCTTGAAAGGATAACAAAGACATGTTAGTTAGTTAGTTAGTTAGTTAGTTAGTTAGTTAGTTAGTTAGTTAGTTAAACATCTATAACAATCAAACAGAGTCATGTTAGGTATATTTTTAAGGTCATACAGAGATATTCTAAGTAGATAGATGGTCTTCAAACACCTCAGAGATCTATAGAATATTGACTTTAAAATGCTTTAATAACCTAAGGCTTTTCATGATCAGTGAGACACGTCTTCTCCTGGCAGCACCAATCTACTTCAAAAAAGGGTGATGGGTATTGAAGAACTTCCACATGGATTTTGCTTTCATTGTGGCAAAGTTAGCCACTGGGCAAGAAACTGCCCTTGCCTTGATTGCTGACAGTATGTTGTCCAAATTGGATAAGCAGGACACAAGAGAACATGACTGCTGAACTTTACCAAGACAAGGTAGGATAGTCCTTAAAAAAAATTCCTGCCTCACAAAAAGTCTGTCAGATAATCTAGTCCTGTAGGCAGAAGATGGATGCCCCAACATTGCAGAGGAAGCTTGGATGACTGTGCAAGCAGCCAGCTGTCTCAGTCATTTCTATAGTTTTGGAAGTTGCTTGCCTGGCACTTCCTGTTTGCTCAGGTAATAGTTTCCTTCTTGGGTCTTTGACTGAGTTGAAGACTAGATAGTTATACTGTTTTCCTTGTTACCAAATTAAAAAAAATAAAACTTACAAAAGAGATGTAAAGTTTATAAGGTTGAGAGACAAGAAAGGTTAAATTATTCATCTAAGAAGATGTTTTAATGTCTAAAAAGACATTTTTAGGATGGTAATACAAGTTATGATAGTAAAGTGGTTTAGGTATAAAACTTTGGAGTTGTCAAGATAGGGTAGATAATAGAGCATTTTCCCCAAAATTGCAAAAATACAAATGGACTGGATATTGTAAATGTAATTCTTGAAAACTGATCTTAGTTTTACTATGTTAGAGTTAAACCCTTTCCTTTTTATTTAGACAAGAAGGGGAAAATGTTGCAGAATATTTGTGCATGCAGTAAAGCTGTAAAGCTGTATCTCTGCCTAAGGCGTCCTCTGATTACTAAAGAACCAAATGGCCAATATTTAGGCAGGAGAGAATAGGTAGGACTTCCAGGCAGAGAGAGAGAAACTGGGAGAAAGAATCTAGGTGTGTGATTTCACCAGTGACTAAAGAAGTCAAACATACAGTACAGAACAGAGGTACCTGAGCCATATGGCAGAATGTAGTTTAATAAAGATAGGTTAATTTAAGTTATAAGAGTTAGTTGGGGGAAAGCCTAAGCTAAGGCCAAGCTTTCATAATTAATAATAAGGTTCTGGGTCATTATTTGTGAGCTGGTATTCCAATGATAGTCAGACAAGAAAGTTTGCTACACCTCCCAACCTTCCTTTTCTTTCTTTCACTTGTTTTACCTCATCTCTGACCTCTCATGACCGCAAGAGACCCAACTGCGTTTGCCTCAGCAACCCAGGTAGATAGTCCCATTCAGCTGTGTGCATAGGGTGTTTTGACTCTGCTGTGGGGCCCTTGCCTCAGCTTTAACTGAAAGAGCTACCGAGGGTCCTGAGAGTTTGGTCAAAGCATGTTTTTGACCTCTGTGTCCTAGGGTTGTTTATAGGAGTTAGTTCAGTTTTGCAGGGCCTTCAGGAACAGTACTGTCAGGGCACAGGGGCAGAGGTGATGGTCATGGATCACTTCTGGTATTTTATTAGGCACAGGAGTCAGATTGGGGCCGTCTAGAGTGGGCTTTTTCAGGAGGTTGACTGTGCAGAGAGGCCCCTGGCATGTTGGCTTGCTTTCTGCTTGCTTCTCCCCCATCCCCAATCTTGAGGACTTCAGGAAGCAAGGAGCCTTTACTGCAGGCAAGAATGATTACATGTCTCCTGCAGGAATCAGACACCAACACCTTCCAGAACTGCATAGCACCCCTGTTCATTAAGATCAGTTACTTGATTACCTTCCTATATGGCACCTTCTGCATGGAGTCCTGACTCCTCCTTAGGAGACCATGGCTCCCTGCAGAGAGAGGCTAGCAGCCCCAGGCCTTACTAGGTGATTGGGTGTTGCTACTGATCTCCAAACTGAGACACCACATGGATCATCTGTGGTGATTGAGGGGTACAAACACCTTCCTGAACGGACTCAGGCCCCAGGAGCTGACTTTCAACTGTCACTTATCCATCACCAAACACCCCAGGTGACCTGAAGTTAGAGCAGCTCTCACTTCTATCTAGGAAGAGCCTTCCCAAGGAGAATGAGCCTAGCTAAGCTTCATCACAAGGGACTAATTTGCATGTATTTTGCATATAATTTTCCCACACTAATAGAAAAGCTGCCACACATACCTAGCTTAGTCCTCATCATTGCTCTTTAAAGGGTCCTCTTTCTGATTTTTCTTTGCCTTATTAATGATGGCCATTACCCTAGATTACTGATTGCAGAGTAGGTAGTGTAAAGCACAAGGGAAAGTAGGGGGACCAAGTGAGCAGGCCTTTGGAGCCATCATCAAGAGAGGCAGAATAGAAGCCCTTCTTTTTCTGACTTGGTGTCTAGATCCTTGGGTGCCTGACTACTTTGCCTTGACATAGGTGGCAGGATCTGGGGATTGCCTGGAGCCATACCTATAGGTGGATTTTTCTGTCCCACCAACCAGCTCCCAAATAACAACATGATGGGAACTTATTAATTATGAAAGCTGGGCTGATAGCTTAGGCTTGTTTCTAGCTCTTATAACTTAAATGCACCCATTTCTATTAATTTGCTTTCTGCCTCATGGTTTAATTACCCTCACTCTCTACTGCCCATGCTGCTTCCTCTGAGTCCTGGTGTCTCCTTGCAACTCCAGGCTTCTTCCCTTGTTCTCTTTGCCCTGAAAATCCTGCCTAGTGATTGGCTGGTCAGGTTTTTATTAAGCCAATCACAGTGAAGTATCTTAACACAGTGTAAAGGAATATTCCACAATCCATACCTAACTATACACTTGCTCAGATGTCAGTGGTGATTTGATGGGCCCCACCCTGCCTTCTGGCACAGTGTAAGCAGCACTTAACTGGGGTGCTAGTCATTGTGTGTATGTTTGGAAAAAGAGGCCATGGCTTTGCTAGGTGTGGGAAGTCTGCCCAGGAGCTCTATGCTAGAGAGAAACTTCCAGAAGCTCAGCTGCCAACCACAAGGAACTTAGAGAAGATGGCCAGACAACTTTTCATTACTTAATTATAGATTAGTATCACTTTTTAGAAACTGAATTCTACTTTTATAGGCAAAGTCTGATAGAGTAAAGAAGCACCATTTCACAATAAGAGCCCCATGATTTTTTATCTTTTAACCACCTAAGATTTTTTTTTTTAATATTTTAGAAATGCCAGGCAAGCCTGTACTGTTATGAACATGGCCCAGGTCAGCCCCTCCTAAGGTGTGCTGGTTCACATCACCCTTGGCCCTGATCACGTTGTTTCCAATCCAGCAGTCAGAATTGGGGCAGGAAATCATGAGCTATAGCCACAACTGGAATCTGCTCTTGAGCTACAGGCTCTCTTATCTGTGCCCTTCACCTGGAGGGGACCTAGTTCCTTTCAGGGCAGTGTGAGTGTGTGCCCTCCGTCCAAGTTGCTTGCATCACTAGGACACATAGTGATATACTCCGGACTGGATACAGCAGCAGCTCTAGGAAAACAGTCTTCCTCAGCATTCTTCCAGCAAACACTGTTTTACAAACAGGAGTTTGCTTGAAGCAAAAGAATAAAACACAGATCAAGTTTTCTTTAAGCTCAAAACAAAATTCAAAATTATGTCTCAGGAAGCATGACATGAAGGATCTTTGGTGGTATAGGGTTGCTTGCTCTAGAGAACTGCAGTCAATCAGAATCAGGATTAGTGATGTCAAGTGTTGATCCAGGCATGAAATAAGTAACATTTCCTTATTAAGTTATTTGTGCTATTGAAAAGTCTTACTGCCATTCATCTGCTCTTTCATCTTTTCTTCCATACATTGATACATTGGTCAGCCCACACATATATACATCTCTTTGTCCACTTACTCATCCATTCGCATCCATCCATCACCCACCATCCATTCGTCCTTCTAACTCCCATCCATCCACCCTCTCTTCCTTTCTTCCATCCATCCATCCATTGATCCTTTTATCTACCCACCCATCCATCTTTCCATCCACCCACTCATCTCTCCACTCATCCATCCACATCCATCCATCACCCATCATCCATTCATCCTTCTAACTCCCTCCACCCATCCATCTACCCTCCCTTCCTTCCTTCCATCCATCCATCGATCCTTCCTTTCATCTACCCACCCATCCATCCTTCCATCCACCCATTCATCTCTCCACTCATCCATTCATCCATCTTTCCACTCACCCTTCCATCTACCCACCCACCCATCCTTCTTTCCATCCATCTACCCATCCACCCATCCATCCTTATATCTATCCATCCTTATATCTACCCATCATCCACCCACCCACCCACCCATCATCCATCCTTAAATTCACCCATCATCCATCCTTCCATCTACCCATCCATTCTCCCATCCATCCATTCTCTTACCCACCCACCTATTCATCCATTTACCTTTCTTCCATCTATCAGGCTGTCTACCCATTTTCTCTTTCTTCTATCCATTTTTCCATCCATTTGTCCTTTTGTGCATCTACTCTTTCTATCCTTTCACTTGTCCATGCACTGAGCTGCCCTCTCATCTATTCATTTACTTATTCTCATTTGTTTAAAATAACATTTACCCTAACCTCCTTCTAGGCTTTATGGGTGATCCAAAGATGATAAAAGAGTTGCCCCAACTCTCAAGAGCTTCCAGTTTAGTGTGTCACTTAGACATGTGGTCAAGTGACTGGGACATAGGGCAGACTGAAATGAAGTATTTATCAAAAGTGCTTTCAGGCTCAGTTAGAAATTAGATTTCCAGGCTGGAGAGGTGGCTCAGTGGTTAAGAGCACTGGCTGTTCTTCCAGAGGTCCTGAGTTCAATTCCCAGCAACCACATGGTGGCTCACAACCACCTATAGTGGGATCTTATGTCCTCTTCTGGTATAAAGTTGTATATGCAGATAGAACACTCATATACATAAAATAAATATTTAAGAAAAATAGATTTCTGGGGTTGTACAGTGGGGAGTCACTGTGGCCACTGGCCAGAAGAGCAGCTACTTCCTTATTCCACTGAGGAATGGGAATCTGGCATTCTGCTGGATGATCAGGACTTTTGAGCATCTGTCACTTTGCCTTTACATATTTCACACAGATACAATCATACAGGAACCCAGTTCTTTGAAATCAGGAAAATGAGGCCTCTGAGTGGGTAAGTAAGTGCTGCATGATCTATGGCCCAGATAGCTTCTCTCCTACAGGTGAGCCACCAGCACCTCTCCTGACCTCTGTTCCTGTCTCCTGGGGTTCCAGGGTTCTAGCCTGTGGAGGGTGGAGGTGCCCCAGGGCCAGACTGTGGGTGGGGCTGAGGACCAGTTGCTCTTTACAGTTAAATTCCGTGCTCAAGACTGGCTCTTAGGCCAGGTGTGGTGACCCACATCTTTCATCCCAGCCTTTGGGAGGCAAGTGGATCTCTGAGTTTGAGGCTTGCCTGTTCTACATTGCAAGGCTGCTACATAGTGAGACTCTGACTCAGAAAGCAAAACAAACAGACTATTCAGGATGGCAGAGGCCTGCAAACCTGCCCATGAGTCCTGCTTTACTTGTCCCTGTAGTCCCCACCTCTAGCCTGGGAGGATACTGGGAGGTGCTAACACGGCTGTCTCTAAGGTAACTGGGAAGGGGGGATACAGACTTGAGGTTTTAGTTCTGTCAAGTGCATGCGTCAAGTGCTTGGAGTCTTCTCTGGGAATTGAGTTGTTCCCCTTCTCTCTAGATTCCTGAATGGTGTTTAGAGTTGTTGAGACAGGCATACTGACAGACTGAGGAACTGAGGGACAGTCAAACTGACTGCATAATTGCACAAGTCCCGAGATCTTCTATTGTGTTCTATCCCACAGGTTAATGGAAACAGCGAAAGAGATGACCCGAGAATCCTTGCCTATCAAATGCCTTGAGGCAGTCATTCTGGGCATGTATCCTTTAAGCTTTATGTGGTCACTTTGTGACCCTGTTCTGGAGCTAGCATCGTCTTTGGTGTCCTTGGAGAAAAGTGTCAGAGCCCCTTGGTACTTCTCTCAATTTGACCTGGCTGGAGTTGAACAAAATCAGTGCTTGGCTTCTTGGACCGCATTCATCTAACCTGTTACCTGTGGAGCAGTCAGGGCCGGTATCAGGCCAAATTTCTGTAGATTCAGCAGTCACAAGGAGAGCTGGGGTTCAGAAGGACGTCAGAGAGTGCACGTGCGGCACTTTCATGCAGTAGCCTGTCACCGATGTAAGAAATACTTGTTATGAACATGTTTTCCTGCTGGTCTGGTCCCACTGCCGCACCAGCCCCAAATAACACACAGAGACACTGTATTGGATATAAAGCTGTTAGCCTGTTACTAGCATTTCTTATTGGCTATCTCTATCTTAAATATTAACCCATTTCTATTAATCTAAGTATTTCCACATGGTCTCATCTTACTGGAGAGAGGGGCCGGACTTCTGCTCCCCATCCTCCATCTTGAATCTCCTCTCTACTTCTTCCTCTCTCCTTCTAGTCTCCTAGTCCCGCCTATCTTGCTTTCCTATTGGCCAAAAGTGCTTTATTCATTAACTAATACGAGAAACATATTTACAGAGTGACATCTCCCATCAAAGACTTAAATGGAGTTGAGGCAAGGCCAAGAGGGAGAATACCCAAAGCCATCACCATGGGAAACGTGAGAATAGGTTGCAAGCACTGGCACTGTGTCACGATGGAACCAGCTGGACACAGGGTCTGGTCCCTTGTGTTTTATCATCTCCACCACATCCTTGGCTCTTTGCCTTGGGAGGAATTTGGTCCAGAAAAGCAATGATGACAGTGACTGGTGGTGGCTGCAATGGGACACAACCAGCTAGAAGGGCCAGAGAAATGCTGAGGCCTGCGGGGTAGTTGGCTGGGGGGATCCATGGCCACAGGAGTAGAACAAGGTGTCAGGTTAATAGTCGGCCCCAGATGAAAGCTGTTGGCTTCTTGAGTATGATACTAAGTGGCTTTCAAAAAAAAAAATCTGAAGCTGACATGGTCTCATGCCTTGGGTATTTCATTCAGAGTAGCTTTTGGAAAGACAGGACAGCAGAAGCATCTGGGCTGGATCTGCAGAGCTCATTGGGAATGCTTGCAGGAGGAACGGTGATACTTGGACCATGTCCTTGGCAGTGGGACTGGGTTGGGCAAAGTAGTTTCCAGAGCTGCCAGAGATAGAGTGCACAGGACTTGGAAACCAGCCAGACGTAGGAGTTGACGGAAAGTAACTAATGCAGGCTTCCCATTGGGCCATAGACAGGGATGAACTTGAAGAATCAAGAGTGACAGGAGTGTGACATACTGTGGTGCAGACCTGCACTGGGACAGAAGGAGCAGTGAAGATTGAGGGAAGAAGCTGCAGGTGTTGGGGCCACAGCACTGTGGATCCCTCCATTTCTGTCTTGCCCGACGGTTTCATGGCCCGAGGGAAGGACTTAAAGGGAAGGCTCTAACTGAGTTCAGATATGGACTGGCTGGATTTGAAACATGGAATCTGGGCTGTTCAGGATGGGATATTTGGAGGGCTGTGCTTTGGGAGAGTGGGTCAATGTTTGAAATACAAATTGGGTAATGTGAATGTTGGGGAGACAAGTTAGGAGGAGGAAGAAATGATCAAGGTGAAGCTCAAAGTTCTTTTTATCTAGTTGGACACAAGGAGCCAGCGGCAGAGCCTGTCCTTGCTTATGCTCTGTTGCTGTGATTGATGCCACGGCCAAAGCAACTTAGGGGAAGAAGGGTTTATTTCTGTTAATGCTTCCAGATCAGAGTCCATCACTGAAGGAACTAAGGGCAGGAACCATGGAGGAACGCTACTTACTGGCTCTCTTCCTGGTTGATTCCCAGCCTGCTTATACAGTCCAGTCCCACCTGCCTAGGGATGGTACATCCCATTGTGGGCTAGGCCCATCACATCAGTCATCAACCAAAATGAGTCCTCACAGACATGGCCACAGGCCAGTCCAATGGGGCAGCTCTTGAGTTGAGGCTCCCTCATTCCAGGTGTCTCTAAATTGTGTCAGGTGGACAATAAAAACTAAGCAAGACAGAGACTTAAGGAAGCTCAGAATAGAAGGGGTGAGGGGTCAGGGGTTAGAGGAAGGTGTGCTTCAGAATTAGATTAGGACAAGAGGATGGTCTAGTCTGTTTGTTTGCACTCTCCCCAGACAGGGTTTCTCTGTGTAGCCCAGGGTGGCCTCGAGCTCACAGAGATCAACCTGGTTCTGCCTCCCAAGTGCTGGGATTAAAGGCATGCACACAACCCCCCACTCTCAACCCCACCCCACTGCACAGCAAGTACTTTAACAACTGAACCATCTCTTCAGCCTTTCTTATACCTTTTTGTTTTTCTTTGAGGTGCTGGAGACCAAACTCAGAGCCTAGTATGGGCTAGCCCAGCACTTTACCCGAGCTAGACCTCTGGCCCCTGATTTTCATAGGGTCTTACGCTTTGATATGTGTATACATTGTGTGTGTATATTGCTGGGCATTAAAGCCCAGGCTCCACACCTGCTACTGCATGTTTCCACAGGACAGGGAGCTTCTGAGCCTCTCCACTACTTGCAGCAGAGCACACAAGGGTCTGACTTGAAGTATGTCTGTCCATTTGGGAAGTGAGAGCCTGAGTCTTTCTGATGTCTCTCCCAGATCTTCTCCCTGTTCTCCATATAAAGGGGAAAGGCATGTTAGAGAGTCCAGCAGGAGGGCAGGCTGGGGACAACAGGTATCTCAGGGGCCCGCTCTTGGCTAGCAAGACTTAGCCACAGTTGTAAGCAGAGCCTTTTTCTGGGAACTATCAGCTGGGAGCTGCTGGTAGAGGCCAGCACAGGACAGTGGCCAAACCCTGTCAAGCTGCTCAGCTGCTTTGCCACCTGCTGAGTGTTCTGGGGTATATAGGCCACCTTGTCCTCTGCACATTGTCATGTATCTGAGCATCACTGTCCCCGTGGTTACCCAGAAGTTCTGGGGACCATAGAGATCTAGGACCCCGCTGAGTCACTACTCTTGATTTTACTTTGTTCTTACCTTTGTGACATTGCAGAGGAGAGCAAAGCAGGTGGCTGGCGAGCGTGGGAGACTGCCTGTCAAGCTGTACACGGGGAAACCAGACTGCTGGCACAGACCTCCGTCCAGAGTTACAATCACAGGGGCCCTCAGAGCCTGCCTGCTCCACACAGAGCAGTCAGAACACATTCTGATTGTGTTTAGTTGGTTGGTTGTTTTTTGAGACAGGGTTTCTCTTTGTAGCCCTGGCTGTCCTGCAATTCAGAGATCCACCTGCGTCTGCCTCCCAGGTACTTGGATTAAAGGAGTGTGCCACTACTGCTGGGTCTGATTGTGTTTAAAAATACACTTGGCTGGGGAGACTGCTTGGGAAATTGCTGAATTAAGTGCAGAGACCTGAGTTCAGATCCCTCAAATCTTGGGATTTGCTGGCCAGCCAGTCTATTGAAATGGTGAGCTTTAGGTTTAATGCGAAGTCCTATTTCCAAAACTGAGGGAAGATATCCCAGTGTGGAGCTCTGGCCTTAACTGGTGCCCTCGTGGTTAGATACATGTATTCACATGTGTGTGCACACACGCGCACGCGTACACACACACACACACACACACCTATGAATAAATAGATAAAAACACCTACAAATAAGTAAACAAAAACATCTTAAATAGCTCCAACTGCCTATAGCAAGCCAGGCAAGAAAAGGAGGCCTGGTTAGTTTGTTTTGCATCTAACTACTGAAGAGAGCAGTTTTTCCTTTCTATTCCATATTCCTTTGGTTTTGGATACTCAAAGATGCCCAGATAATCTCTTGCAGAGAATTCTGCTGGAAAGGTTACTACTGATCTCCTGGAGACGGGGATGGACCCACTGGCCCCAGGAGTAGTATCATACTCTGGGAAGCCATGTTCTCTGACTCGTCTCTGTCTCTTCCTTGACTTCACTCATCTTAAGATATTTAACCAATGGGCAGCCTTCCATCGAGCGGTTCCCCATCAGCTTTAAAACCTATTTCTCAGGAAACTACTTTCACCATGTCGTGCTGGGGATCTATTGCAACGGTTACTATGGCTCCCTGGGCATGAGCCGAAGGGCAGAGCTGATGGACAAGCCACTGACTTTTCGAACTCTCAGTGACCTTGTCTTCGACTTTGAAGACTCCTACAAGAAATACCTGCACACGGTCAAGAAGGTCAAGATTGGGCTGTACGTTCCCCACGAGCCTCACAGCTTCCAACCCATTGAGTGGAAGCAGCTGGTCCTCAATGTCTCAAAGATGCTGAGGGCTGACATAAGGAAGGAGCTGGAGAAGTATGCCAGGGACATGCGGATGAAGGTGAGCATCTGGACAAGCATGGGTGTGTTGGAGCTTCCTTCTCACCTGCATCCGTTATTTTACACATAAGACAAAAATATGACCTGGAAATATATGGAAAGGGAAGGAGAATTGATTTTATTTCATAGTTCAGGGATGCTCTCCATGACAGGAAACAACAGAAGCCACTGTGTGCACAGTTGGGGCTCATCCTGCTTTCTCCTTTTTCTTCAGTTTGGCTTCAGCCCATGGAATGGTGCCGTCCACATTAGTGTGTGGTTCCCACCTCTATTCATGCAACCTAGAAACTTCCTCACAGACACAATCAAAGAGCCACTTCCCCTGTGAGATTCTTAAATCCCATCAAATTGAGAATCAGGCTCTAACAATCACATTCTCTCTTGCGTTTTTTAAATGACAGGAAGTTTTCCTTGCTTAGTGGCCACCCTGTCTAAACAAACCTGCCTCATCCTCATTTGATTGGACAGTTAGTCTTTTTTGCATGTGACATGGCCTGCCCTTGGTGCCTGTGCTGAGCATGGTACCCAGTATCCATTCTTCACTCTGTCAGCTCACTCCATAGTGACAGCATGCCCACTTGTCCCTGTCCCCCCAGGGCCTGTGGAGTCACTAAGAGAAAGTCAGGCTTGCTTATCTTCAGTCTTCAGGACTGGAATGGTGATATTAGTAAACTGAAGCCTGTTCTGTGCCTCAACGTGGGAAGGGGAAGTCAGTGGAAGCTGGTTTCTGGGGTGCTTGCTGTAGGGGAGATGTTGCCTTCCAGGCTGAGAAACTTCTAAGCAAACAGATCCAGGAGGCTGAGGGGATGGGTTTGGTTCCCTCCCTCCACAGAGAAGGGAGTGATGATCCATCTCACTCACCAGGAAGTGGTACCCTTCTCTTTTCCCAGTGTGGAATGTGAGGATCCTGTATCCTGGATAAGCCAGGGTTGGGGTGTTGTCCTGTGAGAAGGTGAGAGATGGGGGCCCTTAGGATCCAGTGTGGCTAACTCCTTCTATTTCTCTCAGATCTTGAAGCCTGCAAGTGCCCACTCTCCAACCCAAGTGAGAAGCCGGGGAAAATCCCTGTCTCCCCGAAGGAGGCAAGCAAGTCCCCCAAGGAGGCTTGGCAGGCGAGACAAATCGTGAGTGCCATTTTCTCTTCCCTGACACACATTTGCAGGGGTGTCCTGACCTGTGTGGATAAGCTGAATCCCCTCTGAGAGGACTGCCCCTATTCAGAAGACATGTACAGGAAAGGTGTTATGGTACACACACCCCCAGGTGGGCAGTCAGCTGAGGATGAGTTGAACATACAGATGGATGGAGGAGTCAGGAGGCCTGAGGAGAGCAACACTGGAAACAGAACCAGGGAGCTTGGGTCTGACATGAGTTTAGCTACTTAGGAGCTTTGTCACCAGGGCTTTTCTTGTGACACTCCTGAGTGTTGAGTTTGAGTCTGTCAGTTTCATAGACCTGCATTCCTCTGTGCCCAGCAGGGTGTGGTTGCAGTGAGCCTTGTGGCATAGGGGTGCTCCCACTCTTTTCCTCCTCCTCGGCTTACTACCCTAGGCTGATGATGCTGCAGCTTTTCCTTAGGTCAAAATGACTCACCTAAGACATGCCAGTTGAGTGCTGAGAGTCCCCAGAGTAACCAGTGACGACCTGCTTGCTAGCAAGTCCTCAGGCCATATCACACTGAAACTTGCTGTTTGCTAAAATAACTGCAGTGGGTTGTCACCTCGGCCTCTTGCAAACTGGGGTCTGGGGTTAGGAGTCTTAGTTGAGTGTCTGCTCAGCCTCATGGTAGCCATGAAGCCAAGCAGACCCTGGTCCTGAGGGGAGCCATGGTTTGCATTTGTAAGAGGTTAAGAAGGTTTCTAAGTAGATCACATCATGGGTGTGGATTGTTACTGGTAAACTGCTTTCACAAAGGCATGTTTTGATTGGCTTGTTATCCCAAAGGCTGTGCAGGGGATGTTCTGCACAGTTCACTTTTGGGTGAAGAAAGCAGAACATGAAAAGAGCTTGTTATCGTGACCTAAGTCTTGTAGCTGGTCGGTAAGGGAGCCAACACAACTCCCTGGGCTCCAGGGAAGTGGCAGGGGAGAAGGGGTGGGTCTGTTTGAGAATGACAGGACAGGGCAAAGTGTCTTCAGTTTCAAAGAGGGTTCTTGTTCTCCACTGCACGTGCTACTGTCAGCCCCAGGACAGCTAGCAGAGGCTTGCTGAAGTGACAGGTGTCCAGGACTGGGATGAGAGAGTCAGTGCTTCCACAGCAAGAGAGGCTGACGTCAGGTGCTCCAGCGTAGGTCTATTCTTCCAGAGAGCCAAATGTCTCCTGACCTGTGGCTTCCTGATGATCCTCGTCTTACCCTCAATGCTACCCTCTGACCTTGACACCACCCTCACATGCCATCCTGAGACCTTGACACCCACCCTCACATGCCATCCTGTGACCTTGAAACCACTCTCACATGCCATCCTGTGACCTTGACACCCACCCTCACATGCCATCCTGTGACCTTGACACCCACCCTCACATGCCATCCTGTGACCTTGATACCCACCCTCACATGCCATCCTGTGACCTTTATACCACCCTCACATGCCATCCTGTGACCTTGACACCCACCCTCACATGCCATCCTGTGACCTTGACACCCACCCTCACTGAGCCATCCTGTGACCTTGATACCACCCTCACTGAGCCCAATGTTTTTCTCTCTGACTCAATTATCCATTCCTGCTGCACTGCATTCTCAGAACTGTGAAAACTCAGAGAAACCCTTTCTGAGTGGCTTGGGCCTGGCGGCAGGAGGGAAAAGCCCTGTCATCTGGTCTATTGTCCTTCCTGTCCATGAAGGAAGCAGTCATTGATTCCTTCGAAGCTCCCATGAGCAGCTGGGGTTGAGCTGCCCACAGTGGGTGCTCGTCCTTCTGGAACCTGGACCAGCACACAGGAAAAGTGTCTCCAGTTGGGGCAGTGGGTCTCTACACAGAAGAGCCGTCATTGCGGGTCAGCATTTCTGGGTCAACGTTTCTGGTTGGATTGTTGCACCTGAACCCACAGGAACTCAGTGCGGACAGTGGTGTGGGGCGTTCTGACTGGTAAAATTGAAAATAGAGTAACTGCCAGGGGACTGGGCAGAGTGGCAATCAAGATGAGGTCAAAGATCTGATGGTGACCATTTGATGTAGAGGACACAGGCAAGGGATAATGGAGTCTGTGGGCTTGGAAGTGTTTCTCAGGCTTCTAGAGTGAATGTTCTAGAAAATACTATTAATAATAGCATTTGAGAACAGATTTAAAATTGGAGGCATCTAGCCAGGCGGCGGTGACACACACAGGCCTTTAATACCAGCACTTAGGAGTCAGAGGCAGAGGCAGGAGTTTGAGACCAGCCTGGTCTACAGAGCGAGAGTTCCTGGATAGCTATGTGTCCTCACCCCCGACACACACACAGTCTCGAAAAACAAGATTTGAGGCATCAACGCATATGTGATATTTCAAACAGTGGTTCATGAGTAAGGAGGGAAAGGGAGAGAGAATGGGATTGGTGCTTCTGGGAGGCCAGAGGAAGAAGAGCTGAACAGGCGATGAGGCAGGGATGGCTGCGGGGGACAGCCTGGATCTGGAGCGTGTACATGCTGCTGCCCTTGTCACCCCTCCCCAGCCTACTCTAGGGAACCCAGACTCTTCTCCTCCTGTCCACCTGGCGCATGCATCACAATGGGCCTGGGAGTGAGGATGAAGAGAAGGAGCAACAGTAGTGGTCCCCCAAGTCAGGAAGGGTGGTCTCCAGGAAGGGGGGTTCTCTTTTGTTCATACCCCGATGGCTCAGTTCAGTCCCAGTGTTGGGAGCTCCAGGGACTGACTCATGGCCCAGTGGCAAAAGTGTAAACAGAAACAGCCTGGATAGTGACGTTTGGGGGAGGAGCAGACCCTGAGGAAGTTATGGAGTGCAGTGTGAAGGGGCTGAGCCTGTGAAGGGGAGGAGAGCACACAGAATGAGCCCTGAGCTGAGATCCAGCACCAGATTTAGCACAGTCAGCCAACATGTGGTTTGGACCCTTTCTTAACTAACCTGTGATGAAGAGAGGGGAGTTAGTGTGGATTCTTTGAAGTCGTTTGTAGAATATAGCATTTCCTCTGGGTTTTTTCCTTGCAGAATTGAAGAAAACTACACTGTCTTTGGAGACAAGGTGGAAATAACCAGGAGGAAGAGGTGAAGGTTCAAAAATAAAGCGATGAATTCAGGAAGCAGGGTTTTGGGGGAGCCAGGGTCAGAGCAATGGGATGTGACAGTGAGGGCTTAGGGGTAGGGAGGGACTGGAAGAACAAGCAGAGACTGATGGCTTGTACCTCAGGTGGCCTTGTGCTGTCTGTTGAGGGGGAAAGCCTTAGATTGGGCAGGGCCCAGGCTAAGGACCTTCCACGCAGGCGGGTCCTGGTTCTCAGAGGCACCTTGTTCCAAACCAGAATGGGGGCCACTCTCCCCTGGAGCTTCTGAACCAGCAGCTTTGGGACAGACATCTGAGTTTTTATTTCTGACGAGTACTTGGTTCTGTTGCTCGGGGTGGGGATGAAGGGAACGTCCCAGAGCCATTCAGCAGCATCTCCACCTCTGTCTGCTTAATGGACCAAGGCAAAGGGTTTACATCAACAGCTAAGCACCAAAACAAAAGTGTTGAAGTCCAGTCACTGTCATACACCTCAGGCTTGTCCAGTCCTGGTGGGTCACCAGAGTACACCCTGCAATTATGGTGTACCAAACTTAGCTGTCCTCACACTCAGGCCTCACTTAATTCAGTATGTGGGTGCCCACTGATTTGCCCTGACTTTCCTTGCTCCAGGGCCTAATCTCTACTAATTTGTCATGCAGCCAAGGCAAGTGACCACTCTGGGGCCTTCACCTGCACCCGAGGAAGACAGCTGTTAGACAGCTACGGCTGTGAGTGTGAAGCTACTGGGTGCCAGGGCCCCACTTGTCCCTACCCCTCCTGATACACTAGAGTGGCCCAAGAATAGAAAGACCAGGAGGGAATGAGTCCCCACGTGTTTTCTGTCATCATCCTAACACTGCCCCCCAAGGTCTGTCTGAGTCCCCGGGAGGCAGTTACAGGCCAGTATATTATAAACTTCACAAGAAAAGGTGGGGTGGCTGTACCCAGCTCCAAGGCCCCCAGATTCATGCCCATACCCATGTCCTAGGCTGAGTAGGTTTCTAGGATCCCTCCATGAACTCTTTCCAGTGGGATAGGGTTGGGAGGGATCTACAAGTAGGCCAGGTAGCCTTGGAATAGCATGGTCATCAAGGGCCTCGCAGCCTGCATGCCCAAGGACAGTTTCACAGGCATGGGTCTCATAAGGACATAGCTCCTCTCAGCATGAGAGACCCTGGCTGCTTTGCTCTCTGTCTGCACTTGGAGGTGGGGAAGAGCCTCGAAAGGGCAGCCATGGAGGCTTCCGTTTAAAGTGGACTGAGGTGAGTGAGGAGGGAAAGCCTTTCCCCAGCTCCTTTGAAGCCTTGACTGCCCAGGTGCAGGAATGGCAAAGGGCTGGTGTCACCATGCCAGAAGCAAAAGAAAGACTGGAGAGGAGGGGATCATAGGACATGGAACTCCCTTTGCTGACTTGTTCATCTGCCATAGCCATAGGCTAGACCAGCACCCTTGACTTTCAGAATGTGTCCACAAGGGGACCTTCTCTCCTGCCCATAGCTTTCTCCAAGCAGGCTGGTCCAGCTAGCTATTCTTGCTATTTATTTATTTATTTATTTATTTATTTATTTATTTATTTTGGTTTTTAGAGACAAAGTTTCTCTGTATTGCTTTGGAGCCTGTCCTGGAACTCACTCTGTAGACCAGGCTGGCCTTGAACTTGCAGAGATCTGCTTGTCTCTGCCTCCCAAGTACTGAGATTAAAGGAAGGTGTGCGCCACCACTGCCTGGCTATTCTTGACTACGCCCTAGTGACTTCACAGACTCCAGCCGGGCTCTCACTGAGGTGGTCAGCATCAGGAAGGGCTCTTGGGTACCTCTGCCATGCTATTATTTTAGTTTTACCAAAGGCCAGTGGTCATCTCTAAATACACCGAGTACTCCAAGTGGAAAATAACCACAGTGGGTGTGAGGCCCATCAGCTAGGGCCCCATGGATAGTTTTGGTGATTTGTTTCACCTTTGCTCACAGCTAGAGCCACTCCCAGCTCTACATTCCTCTTTGTCTTTGCACTTGCCGAAATAATCCCTGTCTGTGTCACTGGGTTGACACAAGAGTCCTCTGAGTGGGAGTGCAAGAGGGACTTCACCAGCCTCAATTAAGACCAAGTTTCTAAAGGGAGACAGACTCCCCTCTGCAGTGGGTTCCCCTACTCCTTTGAGTGTTTTGGTCTTCTCATTACATTACTTATTTGCATACATTTGAAGGGCAGAGGATGGCTTCTGGGTTCTTACCTTCCACCATGTGGGTCCTGTGGATAAAATTCAGGTCATCAGGCCTGGTGACAAGTGCCTTTACCTACTGAGCCGTCTTGCTGGTAGCCTTCCCCTCAATGCTGCAAGCACCTTCTACATGAAACAATCAAGTTTCTTCCCTTCTAAACTCCACCCCCAGGGGTTCTTAAAGAGAACTGGGGGCAAAAATTGGGGTCTATGTTTCAAAGTTCCTGTCAACTTAAACCAACCCCTTCCCCCTCAGCCCCCTCAAGCTCTTTTCTGAGGAATGCCTACAGTGAATTGTGGTTTGGGGCAACTAAAAAAAAAAAAAAAAAGAGCAGGTTAGAGAATTCAGGAGAACCTTAGGTGGTGATGCATCAGTGGTTCAGGTACTTGAAAAGTGGGAGCCCAGATCACCTGTATTCTCAAGTTCAAGACCAGCCTACACTATATTGAGACAATCACTAGAAAAGAAAGAGGACTAGAGATATGGTTCAGTTGAGTGTTTGTTGTACAAGATTGAGGTCCTGAGTTCAGATCCTTAATACCTAAGTAAAAATAAAAACAGATTAGGTGGAGAAGCAATTGAGGAATACACTAGGTCAGCGGCTGGACTCCACACACAATGCACACACTTGGACACATACCTCTGCACACATAAATACCCAAGGTGGGGGGAGAAAAAAAGGAAAGATCACTTCTTCACTCAAGTCTGCTTCCCCAAGGACAGAGCAAACCCGTTTCTCTCCCCTTGTGACTCCTTACCTGGCCTTCCTCCTTGTTCTTTTTTTTTTTTTTTTTCCTTCGATGTTTCTTTTCTTCCCTTTCTCTTTCTTCAGCAACATTGTTCCTTTTAGCTATGAACCCATGAAGGGTCCTAAGGTGGGTTCTGGAAGCCACTCTTGGAGGATTGTAGACACTGGTTCTGTTTAAAGCAGTTGATGTCTAGGGCGTTGGACCAAAAGAAGCCATCACCCTGAAGGCCTTGAGCTTATGGGCCAGCTGAGAGAGGTTTGCACACATGCATTTCCATCTCTACCGTGTTTACAATTGTGAGTGTCCTGGGAACCATGTGGTGTGGACCCTTGCGAGGCAGATGACTAGGATACAAGGTCATTAGTCGGGTCAAGAAGTAAGTTGGGAGATTTCTTGACCGCTGTGTAGTTGTTTCAGAGAGACGGATCACAGGTCAAGAATCTCTTAGTGGCTACTTGAGAGGCTGAGGCAGGAAGATTCCAATTTCAAGGGCTGTCTGCTAACTCACAGAAACTTCATCTCAAGTATGAAGTGTGATGGAGTTGGGGTGTGTTGAGTGGCAGACTGCCTGAGAGGAGAGTGGTGTAGGATGGTCAAGGCCTTCTCAGAGACAAAGGCTGCTAACCCGATGGAGCCTGATGCTCACTGAGTGAGCGAGCTCTACCACTTACTTCCCTATCAAGGGGAAACAATTTGCTATAAGGAAATCTTTCAAAGGTTTAAGGACTTATACTTGAATTTTGATTTTTTAGCACATAAGGTCAAGGTTTGACTGTCATCTTTGCCCCCCTTTGATGCTCTTAAGAAAACAGGAAAACTCTGAAGCAGAACTCACCAGCATCCTAAACCCCACTCACAGTCTTGGTCACATCAACCCAAGGTGACAAGGGGCTCATCAGAAAATGGACGCTGTCAGAATGCTCACAGTGTCATCCTGGAAAGCCGCCAGTGCCCTAATGATTTCTCTTACACTCAGTGCTAGTGTTCAGAGTTTTAGTGCCAAGTGCACAGGTGCTTTGCCACTGAGTGATTTTCTGCCATGGCATGTGGTTTCAGAATTCCAAGAGATATACCTTGTAACTCTGTGTCCTGGAACTTACTCTGTAGACTAGGCTGGCCTCAAACTCAGAGATCCATCTGCCTCTGTCTCCCAAATGCTGGGATTAAAAGAGTTTGCCAACACACCTTAATTTTACACATTCAAGCCTAGAATATGAAGCATCTTTCAAGGGTAATTGAGAATGTTCACCAGACCCTAAGTCCCCTTGTGGTCCCTGGGCTTACTGTTGCCAAAAGATTTTGGCTTAGTCCTGTAGTGTGTGTGACTTTGTTAGGAACTGAGGTATGGAGCTTCAAAATTTGTAGCTCTGAGCATGGAAAATTCAAGGCTACCCTGGGAAACATGGTGAAAACCTGTCTCAAAAAAGTAGAGCCTGGTTAATTTTGCCATGTTTATTTGCAAGATTTTTTAAAAGTAAGTTTAAATTTTAAAAAGTTAATGTGATTAAATTCAAGCTTAAAAGGCTCATTTGATGGCAGAATCAGAAATCTTTAAAGATTTCTCCACTGGAAGCCTTTAGAACACCTTAAAAGTTCTCAAAGTAGATCAAAAGTCAAAGCCAAGGCTGTCGGAGTGGGTGTGAGGAGCAGGTGAGCATCAGGCCCTTGGAAAGCTTCATTCCTGTATGTCGGTCTCTCTCCACTGTCCTTCTGCCTTTACCCTTAGGCCTGCTTTACCTGACAAGAAGGTGGCTGACCTCAGCACTCTGAACGAAGTGGGCTATCAGATCCGGATCTAGCCATGCCAGGCTGGCGAGACTTCTATGGTGCTCTTTTCTGCACTTTACCCAGCAGCTTCAGGAGGACCTGCAGCTATTCATGAAGAATTTGTGGAGTTTTGATTTTGAAGGACTTACGTGGAACAGAATCTGAGTGGGTGGAAATGGTGAGCTTTGAAACACTCACTGGGCAGCAGGCATGACTGGGCTTAAGTGATGGACAGGCCCCTGGGTTGACTGTCTCCCTCACTCAGGATCTCAAGGACAATATTGTAGTTTTCTATTTTTTCATTTGCTGACTGTTGCGCTTGCTTTGGACGTTATGCCTCAGCTGTAGTGAACTCCTAGAGTTCTCTCCAACTCTTTGTAACTAAAAGTCAGTGTTCCAGCCCTCTCAGCAATAACAAGCAAAGGTGGTGGTTTTTTAAGCAGTTGATATTACCTCAACATTTTGGCATCAGATATGCAATCTTAATGAGTTTTTTTTATATTCTATTTGTATTGTTTTCCTAGTGTTTCTTATAGGGATCTTGATGGTTTGTTTGTTTGTTTGTTTTTATTCTGGTGCACACATGAGATTTAAGGTGCCATACGCAAATGTTTTAGCAAAAGGCTCTGCAATTCTGGCAATAAGGGGCAGCAACACTTTAGGATCTTGACCTTTCTTAAAGCATCTGCTGACAGCAGGTTTTCTTTCAAAACAAGCATGCTAAGCACTCTAGACCACGTTATGCTGCTAACATTTAAGGTTTTCCAAGTCCAGCAAAAAGCACAAGAGGCCATGCACTCATGAAAATCCAGCAGTGCCGAAATGGCTTCCAGCAGAACGGAGCTCAAAGGCAGACACTGGGAGTCAGCCTCGGTTCTGAGGAGCTCACAGTTGTTATGTGTTCTGCTGTCTTACATTAAGGCAAATGTGATGATGGACTATTTCCCAGTAGCTTGTTTTAGGCACTACTTCATGGCATTAGGAAGTGCTGGGGATAACCATGAACTGAAGAAGCAGGCCTGTCTGAAAAAGAAAGGTCCAGCCGAGTGCTGGCCTCAGGCCCTGGAGCAGAACGAGCCTGCCTGTGGCCAGTGCACAGCAACTTCTGCTTGCAGACCGCCAAGCTGGATCTGAAGGCATGCAAGAGTGCTACAAACCTGGAGTACACTCTAAGTCATTTACCCTAGTGCAGCCACCATGCCTGAGGGCCAGCTCCTCCGCAGGGTTTTTAGCATGTGCCCCCTCTGGCTGTGACTGACCCGGTTAACTGACACTGAGTTTTCACAAGGAAGACCTAGGGCCACAAGGGAGGCAAAAGCTGTGGGCACAAAGACTTGCTCCACCCTAAAGCCAGCATTTCTAATGAAAAGTATTGTTTTCTTGGAAAAGTTTAGTGTCCTTTAGAGAACAGGACCAGGAAACTAAAACACAATTAAAGTTTTGAATTCTTAACTTATGGCTTTCTTCAACAATCCTGTTATCAAGAGTTCAAGATGAGTTCCTAGGCCTGGACGAGTGCTGGGAGGATCTGCTGAGAAGACATAAAAGAAGCACCTTTCCTCCACGCGCCCTAACACTGTCCATTCGCAGCCCAAGGCCATGTGTCCCAAAGAGCTGGAGAGTTTTCACACTTGCTCAGCTATTTATCCCCTGAAACATCTCCATCTGGTATGTGGACTGATAAGAAATGGACCACCAGGCCAAGCGCCTGCAGCTGCCTTGTTTAAGGACAGCTTACATGAAAAGAACATAAACCAGCAGGGTAACCTTGATCCATGGCAAGGGGAAGAACAGCACCCAGGTGTCCCTGAATGTGACACTCTGTCATCTAACCTTTTCCACAACCACTTCTGATTTTTAGATTCATTTTTCAAAGCGAGGTTAATCACAGAAATATTTAAAATGCTGTCTGTCATTCAATTTACTGCCTGTAGTTAACTAACTTCTAAAAATAGAAGTCACAAAACATCTAAATTCTAATGCAAATTTAATTAAATAGTATAGCCAAAATGAACCCAGCGTGTATCACCTCTCCAGCCTGTCTATGATTTAAGATAGAGAAAAGTATGAGGTGACCGGAGCAGAGTTATTCTATGCACAGTGCAGAGAGAATGACAGTCTCAAGCTGACTCGCTGCTGATTTTGAGAGGTGATCCCAAGGGTTTTCTTTATGATGGAATGAGTATATACACCTTTTCTCGAGTCAGTGGTTTTATAGGGTGTCCTCAGCAGACATGGGTAAAGGCCTGTGGAACCCTTCCGTTTACTCTACAAGATTTTCATATGCTAGACTTTTATGTGCAACCGTGTACAGTTTTTTGACATACAGTTTGGATTCTTTTTTATTCTCTTAGACTTTGTTCTGACCAATACATTTTTAAAGATATTTCAGAAGAACTGTGATTGTTTTAGTGAGTATTTTTCTAAGTACACGAAGACTTGATAGTACTCTGAGGGACGCTGGGAGTGCATGTTTCAGGCTTGCGTTTCTCTCGTCATGTGGTGTACACAGCATGGAAGTGTAATAAAAACCATTCTGGAAACTGAAGGACTTTGAGAAGTTTTGTTCCTGTTTGTCCTATTAATTCACCAGTTTCTCCCTTTCCTCTTTCAGGCATTGTTGAACATTACTCTGTTTGGGTGTATTTCAGTCACTTGTCTCTGACCTTCATCCTTACTGACAGAGGCTGCGAAGGTAATGGGACAGTTTAGGGGTGGCAGGCCAGCTTGTACTGCTCAGCATGTTTAACACAAAACCCAACACAGATGTACAAATATAATTTATTACAGCTTATAGGTACAAAGTACAAAGGACTCGATGCATTATAACCTTTTTTTAAACAAAGGATTAAAAGCTAGCAGATGTTAAATCCTGAAAGACAGGGTTTTAAGCATGCCTATTTTCTTGATGTCAAAGGGTACAGTAAAAACCAGACTATCATCACTCTACAGTTTCTCTTTGCATTTAAGACTTAGCCAGTGGGAGGCTGGGGAGATGGCTCAGTTAGAGGAGGACCTGAGTGTGAGCCCCAACACCCACATGAGAAGCCAGGTATCCACATGTAATCCCACATGAAGGAGGCAGAGATAGGAGAGTCTCAGCTTTGCTGTGTAGCCAGTTTACCTACTTTGGCATGTTCCAGGCTAGTGAGAGACCCTGTCTTAAAAATAAAAGGTGGATGGCACCTGAGAAATAACACCCAAGGCTTACCTTTAGACAGACAGACACACACACACACACACACTTTAGACTGTGATATCTGACTTCTGCAGGCAGCCAGATCACGATCACACACACACACACACACACACACACACACACACACTTTAGACTGTGAGATCTGACTTCTGCGGTCAGCCAGATCAGATTGTGCTTGGCAGGTAAACACAGGGCCCAGAGCTGTCAGCTCCTCTGTCAAGAACAGTAGAGAAAATAGATCATTTTTATTGGAGCTTTAAAAGCTTGTGAAAAGTGTCTGTGACCACAGATTAACACTGATAAGCTACAGCAATTTATAGGTTAACTGTACCAAAGTGAAGTACATGAAATGAGCCTAAACTCATAATATATTCGTCAGGATATAAAAACTTTTTACAGAGGTTTTAGGAATGTTAGCTTGTCAACAATGATATTTATAATAATTCACTCAATCCAGCACCCCATATTAAAGAGAGACAGTCACCACTGTAATTCTAACAGGACTCTTAGCACTGCACAAAGCACCACTGAAACTGGGCATCTTGGCACTGCGGTCACTACTGCCAATGGAAACCAGTCTTTACACTCTGCACCTAGGAGACCTATAACTAATCAATGAGTTAAAAATTTGAATTGTCAAGACTTACTAATTCAAAATATTCTATTAGTAAAACTCACTGTAGAAAAAGTGTAAGTAAGGACTTAGTAAAAATGCCTGTAATCTGATTCTACCATCTTAGAAAGCAGATGTACTTACATTTAAGTCTTTTACTGACACTTGCACAGGGCTAGCTACAGGGCTCATCAGACTTGCTGTGAGGCTTCGTGGACAGTGTGAGCCATGTCACCCTGCAGAAAGCTCAACCCTGCAGCCAACAGCTAATTGGATGTGAAGAGTGGCGTGTGGGGCTCCAAGTATAAGCTGTGCCTTGCTACACTCTGGCTTTTGCACTGGAGGAAATGAATAGCTGTATAGCTGCTACTTCTTTCCAAAGACCTTTTCTAGTATTTATACAAAATTGTTTCAACAAAATGTTACTCCTCACTCAAGGGCCTTCTACTGTCATTAAATACAAAGGGAAATGCAGGGGAACAGAAGCACAAGCAAGAATTTGCCATCTTTTTGTCTATCTTTGAGAACCGGGTCTTGCTTTGAAGCCCTGACTAGTTAGTCTGGACATACAATGGCTCTCCCACATACAGGCAACACAGATGTGCATGGCTGCACCTGGCTCATTGGCTTTCCTTGGGGCAACCCCTGTACAGGATAGGAGTGGGCTTCTATAAAGGGCTCTCTTTTTTGCATGTGTTTTCAAGACAGGATTTCACTGTGTAGCCCTGGATGTTCTGGAACTCACTCTGTAGACCAGGCTGGCCTCAAACTCAGAGATTCGCCTGCCTCTGCCTCTCAAGTGCTGGGATTAAAAGTGTGGGCTACCACCAAATGGCTTTTGTTATCTTTTTAAGACCGGGTTTCATGTAGCCCAGGCTGGCTTTAAACTTGCTATCTTGCTAAAGCTGGCTTTAAGTGGCTAATCCTGCCTCCACCTCCCAAATGCTAAGATTATAGGTATGTACCCTCATAATTGGCTAAGAGCTTTGCCCTCTTCTGAGAATAACCTAACAAAATGCAGACATACCCCACAGCTCAGGACAGCAGTGAAGTGGGTCGGTATGCTCTACAACTCAAGAGCATCATCGAGCCTCTTCAGAAGCTAATGTGGTTGGACACCTGTGAAAAGATGGCTCAGTGATTTCTAGGAATGGATGAGCTCTCAACAAGCACAGGCTCCTCTCAGTGAAATTAGGCCTCCAGAAAAAAGGCAACAACCTGAGCTTTGCAAGTCCTGGCAGGTCAACCAGAAAGCACTGAATTCATATCTGGAGGGCCAAGGAGATGAACTATGTTTTTAAAAAATGCTATTAACTTTACCAGAACTTAGAAGTTATTTATATCTTTTTACAATAAAGTATTTAGACATCAATTGTCAGGAAAATATTTCATTAAAAAAAGAAAACTTGTAAAGTTGTTTCTTCCAATCTGTTTCAAGCATATAGCAAATTCTGAAACCCACAGCACAACAATGAACAGCATGCAAACAGTTAAAAATATCTTTACAGCCTTTGAGAAGACAGAAAATTGTGTGAATGAGCAACAGAGTCAGAATTCAAGCCGAAATTTAGCCAGTAGAGGCAGGTGGTCTGAGGAGTTGTGTTCATTGGGAAGTCCATTCACAGTCCACAGGTCTTGTTCTGTAAGAAGCGATAGTCTAGCTAGAAGTTTCAAGCCCCCAACCAAAGCAACTTCAGCTCCTAGTTGAAGAAGCACATATTCAGTGAAACTGTCATTAAGCAGGCAAGTTTGTTTTTTAGAACAGTGAAACAGACCCTGAAGCCTACCAGAAAACTAATATGCAAGTTTTTTAGAATATAAAGTTTTGTGAAGTTATGACTAATAACCCTTAGACTGTAGAATCATGCTATTTGTGCCAGGTAATTTTTTTATCTCAATTTATAAAATTTATACCTTTGAAAAAGATTAACATAATAAAAAATGTTAAGAATTTGCATTGAGTGGTGGTGGTGCACGCCTTTAATCCCAGCACTCTGGAGGCAGAGGCAGGAGGATCTCTGAGTTAGACCAGCATGGTCTACAGAGTGAGTTCCAGTACAGCCTTCAAAGCTACACAAAGAAACCTTGTCTGGACCCCCTGCCCCTCCTCCCAAGAGAATGAGCCACCAAACTACTTAACTGCACAGAGCCAAGCTTGGCAAGGGCTGCTAAGGTGACTGCAGGGTAAGGTGAAATGATTTGAGTGCAGTCATTGCTCTCAGCTCTGGGGAGACCAGTGCTGCTAATCCATGACACTCCCATGCCACCTAGTGAAATCTGCAGGTGTGGCAACTTCCACGCTGTACTGTGCCCTGAGAGCAGGACACACTGGAGGGAAGGAACTGACTGGGAGAGAAGTAGCATCAGAAAAGGGGATGGGGTATGCCTTGTCTAGGACTCTAGATTTTTCCGAGTGTTTTTAGACTTCCAATTATCTCAATGTTTCCTGTTTTAAACCCTTCAATTGGCTTATTCAGGCTGCTTTCTTGAGCTATAACGGAAATGTTCTCCCAGTTCCATTTCTGAAAACCTTCACAAGCGTTCTCCCACAGGCCAGCACCTGGGTCAGCATGAGCAGTGTCTGTTGTCTGGCCCTGCTGTGAAGGCAGGGTTCATGGTGGAGAGTGGATGTTTGGGACTTAGAACTAGACTGTGACAGGCAGCTGAGGACACTTGTGTGGGGTCTGCCTTGGGCTGTTCTAAGATGCATCAATCTCCCCTATCTCACTTCTGCATCTACACCTTCACCTTCTGCTGAGGAGAGCTGTGGATCCCTGCCTGCCTTCCTCTAGTGGCTGTGGTTCCACACACTCCTCACCTGGACCCCTAGCAGCATCCTCCTTTTCTGCTGAGTAGAAAATATAATCAACGGTTATGGCGCTTTGGGAATGGCAGGTGGTCACCTCTGGAAGTCCAGTGCCAGGAAGGTAATGAGAGTAGACAGATGACAAGCTGAAGTGGTGCTGGAGATGCGAAGACACACTGAAGTGAAGAGGGAAGGGCTCAGTGTCCACCAAAATTTCATTGTAAACAATCTCCCATCTAAATTTCCTTCTCACTCCATTCCCAGACTAAGACCAGCACACTTTTCATTGTTTACTCATTTGATTTTGTTTTCCAGACAAGGTCTTACATTATAGCCCAGGCTTGAGTGGAACTTGCATCATAGCTTAGGCTGGCCTCAAATGTATGGCAATCCTTCTGTCTCAGTTGCTCGAATAGTGGTATATGTGTAAGCCATCATGCCTGGCTTTTTTGAGAGTTTCATTATGTAGCTCAGGCTTGCCTCCATCTTTTGAGATAGCCCAGGCTGGCCTCCATTTCATGACACTTCTGCCTCAACCTCCTGAATGTTATGATGACAGATATGAGACATGTTTCACTGAAATAAACCATATCCTCTCCTTTACTGATGACAGTGATACGTGTTTGAGAGCCTCCATGTAAATACTAAGCATGCACTCCTAAGCACCTTGCATATTATGGTTGTTTTTAAGGATGCTCTAAGTGGTTAGTGCTATGTAGGGCTTTAGGACCCTCCTGACCTCTGCTGGCAAAGAAGCCACAGGCATGTCATCCTTCTGCTGCTCTCAGGACAGCTGCCAGAGTGGCTCACATTTACTGCTGCAAAGACATGTCATGTCATAGACAAAAGGGTTAAAGATTATTTTCTAATATGTCATGAATTTTAAGAGTGATTTATGCTATAAAGGAGAAATAATTTTTTAGAACATTTTAAAGTTCACTCAACAAACATTTATCAAACATCTACTTAATTCTATACAACACTGTAGATGCTGAGGGACACATAAAAATGTGGCTCAGCAATTAAGAGCACTGGATACTTTTCCAAAGGACCTGAGTTCAGTTCCCAGCACCCACATGGTAGCTCACAACTGTCTATAACCCTGGTTCCAGGGAATCTAACACCCTCTCTTACACATACAGGCCAAATACAATGCACATGAAGTAAAAATAAATTGGGGGAAAAAAAAAGTGGGCTGCCAGGCAGTTGTGACACACACCTTTAATCCCAGCACGTGGTAGGCAGAGGCAGGTGGATCTCTGTGAGTTTGAGACCAGCCTGGTTTACAGAGCGAGTTCCAGGACAGCCAGGGTTACATGGAATAAACCTGTCTAAAAAACAAACACAACAAAAACCACAACCCGCCTACCTTCCAACTTTTAATGTCTAAGGACTTACATTTACAAGCCTCACTAAATGCAAAAGGTGGTACATGCCTATAATCTCACATGTGGGAAGCTGGAGCTAGCCTGGGCTACACAGTAAGACACAAAAATACATTAAAAATCCTCAAGCTGCTACCTACCAGTGTTTCAGTTTATAGACAAAAGCTGTGCAGAAGCACACTGATCTCACATAATGTGATAGTTAGGGGCTGGACATGACATACAGATAAGTTACCTGGAGGATAAGGAGGGCAAAATCTCAAGGCTAGTCTGGGCTACACAGCAAAATCTTGTGAGACATCTAATTACTCAAAACCACTCATTGTCATACTGCTGAATTTTCACTCTACTTGAAATGTTTAATCACTTTTTCAAAATTGTTTTTTTTTTTTTTTCTCCCCAAGATAGGGTTTCTCTGGAGCTTTGGAGGCTGTCTTGGAACTAGCTCAGTAGACCAGGCTGGCCTTGAACTCACAGATCTGCCTGTCTCTGCTTCCCAAGTGCTAGGATTAAAGGTGTGTACCACCACTTCCCAGCCAGAACTGCTTCTTTCCTTACTAGGTTATTTATAAGAAACTATTTTCTTAGGACTGGAAAAAATGGCTCGCCAGTTAAGAGCAAAGACTGCTCTTCCAGAGGGCCGGGGCTCAATTCCCAGCACCCACATGGCAGATAACTGTCTATAACTCCTGTTCCTAGGGACCTGATTCCTGCATATAGACACATTTGCAGGCAAAATACCTATGTATTTTTCTCAAAATAACAAAGTAAAACAGAAAAGAATGAGGATAAACTGAAGGAGATAACACTTATAATGTGAAAAAAATCTGAGTTGTAATCTAAGATAAACATCTTAAAAATGTTAAAGAGACAAGCAAGATGTAGGTCTGTCTGTCTTGACATATTAACACAAACCCACTTCTCAATCAGCCCAAACATCCAGGTTATTATCTTTTTAAACTGATACAAGCTTCTGTTCTCTGCTTCTGATGGTTTTCCTTCGGTTTATGAGAAAATGACAATGCCATCTCTATGGCATGGTGTCTGTGCCAGTGCCTGTAGACAGATCTAGCTCGTGACTCTGAAAATCTCAGAGTTCCTGGGCACTTCATGCCCACATGCGTGCCAAGCATGCTCCCTGAACTCTCACAACCCATGTAGGTAAATGCAACCTTAGAGATGCCTGGTTCTCAGTTACAAAGCAGCAGTAAGACTGGAATTCACGTGTGTCAGTCTTAAACCCTTCCAGGTGTTTAAACTTTGCCAGGTAGAGTAGCATCGACTTTGTTTAGTTTTTTGCCATACCCAGTCAAGACTGCTTACTGTTGCTCCCCAGAACTCACTTTTCAGCTGACATGAGAACCTCTGTCTTCTCCAGCTGAGCTTGTGTTCGGTCACTGTCTGAAAGAGCAGAGGGAAGCATGTCAATCCAGTGTGCATATTATTTGTTCCAGTTTGCCACAACAGAGCTTTCTCTAGAGCCACGTTCATGACATGTCTAGTTTTGCTGTCTGCTTAAATGTTTGAACCTATGGCTGTTCTACAGAATGGGGAGGGGGGATGCAAACAACTCTAAGGCAACATGCAAGTTATTCATGAACAATGTTGGAATTTAACTTTTAAAAATGAAATATGAAACATTAAAAGAAGGATGAGCAAACAGCTATTTATATTTATATACATGAGCATCATGCCCAAGATGCTGAAACTGAAATTTTAGCATATGTCTCCACAGAAAAGACCATTACCCAGAAGACTGCCAAAATGTACTGCAAACACTCACCTGTCTTTTCTACTCTGGGAACCTGCTGTGCCTCATATACACAGTTCTGAGAGATGCCTAGGTCTGGGGGCCAAATTGGAATAGATAAAATTCTCTGTCCCCGTGAAGACTGTTCCTGGCCAGATACCTGCACAGAATTTCAACAGGCATCTTAAGTGAATAGACTAACTAATTTATATGTTGAAAATTTTGAATCTTAATAAAAGTAATCAGAAATGGTTAAGCATAGCCCTCATTTTATATGATTACAAACTACCATCCAAAAACAGTTTGGAAAGCACTCATCATTAACATGGAAATCATAGGCTTTCGCATGCATATTTTCCTCATTTGAATATCTAGGTATCTATAGCTTCCCAGTAATATTATCTTACTCTTTCTGCTACCTGTAATATAGTTTCTGTTGTATCAAATGCTGTGATTAAATCCAATTTAAAACTACCACTGAAAACTCTGTGGTGGAAGATTTATTCCAGTTAAACTGAAAATCAAATGATCTAAAACAAGCAGAAAAGCATGGAAATATCATTCAAAGCCCAATAAAAATGATTCTAAACTGAAGAAAAAAAGTATTTCAGCACTACACAAGACATTCCTATGTAAAGAAAAGCTTAAACAATGAATATTAAATTACTATATTGCCCAAGTCCAGCATTCAGAACTCCTCCTACCCTTAACCCATGTGAAAGGGGGCTTTCAATTTATCCTTGTCTGTCAACATTTTTTTCTACCAGCTAATTCCTTCAAACAAAATCCTTCCAAAGTGGGAAAGATAAAATCAAACTAAGCGAACAAAGCCACATATTCCTAACTGAGGTATCAGATTGCCTAGTGGTTTTCACACAGCCATGCTATGACCACCCTCACTCAACAATGACTGACTGGTTCCCTCATTCTGATGGGTAGAGCAGTTGAGGCCCACTTCCTACAGATAAAGTAAGCACTTGCCTTTCCAATCGCAAGTCCTTCATAATTCAGTTTTCCTTCCTTTATGAAACTATAGAGTGGAGAACCAGGAACAGAATTAAAGTCACCACACATGATGATGGGACAGAAGCTGCCGTCTTTCTGATGGGCCACACTGGAAATCTCTGCAAGCAGCATTGCCAATTGGGTGAGTTTAATGTCTCCTCGCCGTGGGTTATACAGCAGATGTGTGTTAGCTACACAGATGGAGGGGGACGCAGCATGTGGGATCCTGGGCTGTAGGAGTAATACCAATCCAATGTTGTCCCTGTCCAGCAGAGGAATGTCACGGCGGCAGAACTCCACTGGGTTTACTGACAGGAGTGAGAATTTGGAGTGTTTGAAGCAAATGGCACAGCCGTCGGGTTTCCTTCCTGTCTTCATTTTATATTCACAGTGATAACCTAGAAGGAGTGAATTTAAAAGGGAGAGGCTGTATATCAAAATACATTCCTCTTGATATTTTACAGCAATGTTTGACAAAGCATGTGCTGTAAGACAAGATGCTAGTCTGTGTTAAAACTAAAGCTTAGGGCTAGAGTCGAGGGAGACCATGGGCCCAGCTAGTCTGAGTGTTTTAACATTAGCAATTAAGAAAATAAATTCTATATCTTATTTCTTTTTTCTCTTCCTCTCTTTTGTGGTATGGTGTTGGGGATCAAACCCAGGGCCTCACACATACTAGGCAGGCACTCTACCATGGATCTACATTCCCAGCTCAATGGTCTTCTGAGACAGGGATTCAATATGGATTCCTTGAACTTAATATGTAGCTCCAAGTGGCCCTGAACTCCTGATCTTAATGCCTCAGCATCCCAAATGCTAAGACTGCAATGAGGCCACCACACCACATACCTTGTAATGTCTAACCAAGCAGAGAGCAAGCTCCCACACTTGTAATACAAGCATTGGAAGGAAGCAGGTGCATTATGAGTCTGAGCCAACCTGGGTCATACAGCAAGACCTTGTCTCAAAACCAGTATACCTAGTAACTTTCTTTACTGGCAGACTTAACCCTTCAACTCAGTCATGACAAGGATAGTAAGGCCTTACAGTAATTTATCCTGATCTTTTTGCCCCTCTTTCCCCATCTCATCTCTGTGGACCACAATGCCTGAATACATGTCAACACCAGAGCCTTTCCTATGCTAGCTGTGCTGGCTAAGGATGCTCTAGGTACACCTCAACCTTCTCCTCCTCCAAATCTTTGTTCAAGCTATTTACTTATGCACATCCCACAAAGGAGGCCAGCTACTGAGACAGTGTTGTGCTCACTTTCTGGAGCAGAGTAAAGTATAGGCAGGCATCAGAAAACACTAAGTAAGTGAATGCCACGTGGGCATTTTCCTATTTCCTGCCTATAAATCAAATCCTAGAAGCTTCTTCATCAAACAAGGTTTTATCTTTTATCTGCAAGGCTATGGTAAAGCCTGCTCTTGAAGGCCTAGTCACTATCTTGAGCAACACAGACCAGCAGAGGTATAGCAGTTGAGTGATTCCTGGAAACATTTCCCTTTTAAGATCAGATTAACATGACATTTCCAGCAGAAATGCTTCAATATTTTCTGGACATTTAGAAATAGACATTACATTTTCAAAACTAAGTTATACCAAAAAGGGCCAGAGATGGCTCAGCAGTTAACAGCACTAGCTGTTCTTGAAGAGAACGTGTGTTTACTACTAGCACCCATATGCTAGCTCATAACTGCTTGAAAACTATAATTCCATAGGCTCCAATGCCCTTTTCTGATCTCCACAAACTTGAGCCTCACACATGGTACACAGACATACACACAGACAAAACACATACATAAAATAATAAATAACTGAAATTCAAAAGTTATCCTCGGAGCTAGAGAAATGGCCCAGTGGTTATGAGCACTTGCTGCTCTTCCAGGGGACCCAGGTTTACTCCCCAGCACCAGTAGTGGCTCACAACCACCTGTAACTACAGTTCCAGGACATCTGACAACCCTTTCTGACATCGTGAATGCAGGCTAAACTTACACACATAAAAATAAATCTTTAAGAGTTAAAAAAAAAAAAAATGCCAGTCAGTGGTGGCATATATCTTTAATCCCAGCAAAAGTAAATAAAGGTTACATTGTACCCAGTGATTCCAGACTTGGCCTGATTTCTGTTCCATAATGATCTTCTTGAACTTCCTGTAGACAAAGCACCTTGAAGAAAACAGTTGTTTAAATTAACGAGTTCTATTTATACTGAATTAAAACACAGATGCAAATATGAATTCCATTTTTACATCAGCATGGAAATCAAAGTCACATATGTACCTTTTCTTATTTCTAGACTAAGTAATACATAATGCTCTTCCTTATTATTTTTTTGTTCATTTATTCAAGACAGGGTTTCTCTGTGTAGCACAGGCTGTCCTGGAACTCACTCTGAAGACCAGGCTGGCCTTGAACTCAGAGATCTCACTGCCTCTGCCTCCCAAGTGCTTTGGATTAATGGCATATACCACTACTGTCGGCTTTTTTTTTTTTTTTTCTTTTTTTTTAACTTTTGGGGAAAAACTATTGCTCTCAAATATTTTGTATCACAAGAAATATGTTTCTAAACATTTTATATCTCAAAGCCATGACTCACTCATATGGAATAGCACTCTTACCATTCAAAGTGATCTATTTCCCGAAAGAACTTTTCATACTTTTATATATAAGGCTATCGTTCCTGATTTCTATGTTCATCACAACTGAGTTTTTGAGTATCACTATATAACTCAGAGCAGCCTTGAACTCAGAGGGGTCCTTCTGTCTAGCCAAGTGCTAGATTATAGACATGTATCATCACACCTGGCTTGGGAAATTTTATTTTTACTTTAGATATGAATGTTTTGCCTGAATTTCTGTGCACCATGATCATGTAGTGCCCACAGAGGCCAGAAGAGGGTGGCAGATCCCCAAGAACTAGAGATATAGATGGCTGTGAGCTGCCATGTGGGTGCTGGGAATTGAACTTGGATCCTCCAGAACAGCCAGTATTCTTAAGCACTGAGCCATCTCTCCAGCCATATGAGTCCTTTCCTAAGAGACTAGTTTCTTTCCAGTATCCTTCCTGCCAAAAACAAAACAAAATAACCTGTTTCCTTAGCTGGGCATGGTGGCACATGCCTGCACTTGGCACTGGATGTAGGTAGAGACAGGAAAACCAGGAGTTCAAGGTCATCCTAGGCTACACAGAAAATCTGAGGCCAATGTGAGCTATTAGAGGTCCTGTCTTAAAACAAACAAAAAAGCAATTGACATTTCTTTAAATGTTATCATCTTACCATGTAGATAATTTGTGTACAAATTATTGAAATTTCAAGTCCAGTATTTTTAATTAAAATGCTCCATCTGATCCTCAGAGTTGACCAACACTTTAAAACTTTCCAGTCTTTTGAAAAGCTAGGTGATTATTTCACAGTGACCAATAACAAGGAAGCCATACCTCGATAACAGCAGCTCCTTACCCCAGACAACATGCAATAAAACACTGGCTAGGAATGCACAATCAACCACGTCCTCCACAGAAGAAAAGCTTGATACTGCTATACACACTTACATCTGCATCAAAATGCTTGATTTCTTTCAGAATATTGGGAAACCGAAAGCTCCAGTGTAGCACTGGGCGCCGGCAATGTCTGTAAAGATGTGAATTGTCCTCCAGTAAATCTTGGGAGAGTATATTGTAAGACATCACTGAAAAGTCAAACTTTTCTTCATTGTCCTCACACGTGGAGTCAACATTTTTGTCTTCTAGGTCCTTCGTTTTTTCTTTATTATGGCTACATAAATACTCCCAATTCCTTTTTATCGTTCCTGTTAAAATACATTGGATAAAATAAAAAGAATCAATCAAAAGGAGACCAGATGATTTTCTGTACACAAATACTTTTTCACTTAAGACTCCCACAACCACTGAGTAAAATGTTTTTCCTTGGAAGCAGCACCCTAATAGTGACTAGTTAAAAGCTGTCACCAGGAAGGCTGACTAGACAGCACATCTTTCTGGAGGCTGCATTTTCCATTTGTCTCTAGTTCAGAAGACTTCCATCAGTTATGCTTAGCATTCTTTAATGCAATGAGAGACTCTGCCAGAGCCAGCTTTCCAGAGATGATTTCCTAGCACATTTCATTCTATATCAAGATCACCAGTTACCTTAGTTTAGAATTCTGGTTTATGCAGGAACCGAGGGTTGTACAGAATGAAAATATGTGAGAACAGGGTTTAATGTCTAAAATGTTAAAGTGAAGAGGCACAGACAGAGTGAACAAAACGAATTGTTACAAAGTATAGATGACAAGCAGAAGGTGGGGGCTCACACCTTTAATCCCAGCACTGAGGAGGCAGAGGCATGCGGAAATCTGTGAGTTCGAGGCCAGCCTGGTCTACAGAGTGAGTTCCAGGTTAGGCTCCAAAGCTACACAAAGAAACCATGTCTTGAAAAACCAAAGAAAAAAATACAGATGATAAAATGAGCCTTGTAATATAGGGATACCAAAACACGAGTTAACATGACATTACAGAATGCTGTAGACAACAAACAGCAGAAGCTGGTGAATGAGCTCTGCATACAACTACCAGGTATGCAGAACAGATCACACTCTGCAAAGACATAGCATTCTTTGAAAAGGCAATGAAAAGTAGATAGAAAAATATGAGATTCTATAGTTAGAGATACTCCTCGACTGAGAAATTATCATTTTCTGAAGGTGCGTATGTATGAATATATATGTATATATAATATACTTTTTATATGTATGTATATACACATGTAATATATATGTATATATATGGGTACACATATATATAAATATACACATATCCAGGCCTGGTGGCACATGACTTCCAAGCCTTCCACCTCAGGAGGCTGAAGCAGGAGGATCAAAAGTTCAGCGTTAGCCTAGTTTACACGGTATGGTCAAGGACTGCTTGACCTATGTGTAGTGAGATTAAAAAATAAAAACAACAACAATAAAAAGGGTGGGGGCTGGTAATTACTTAGTTGTTGAGCACTTATCTAGCAAATGGGTTCAATGCCTAGTGTCAAAAAATAGCAAGTGAATATATCCACCTTTGACTTTGTGTCTTGTTATGTCACATTAGTGAGGATATATGCTTAATGTCATAGAGGTCATGAGAAAAAGATGGAACATTAAGTTAACCCACAAATTCAACACTGAGGAGAAAACCTACCCAGAAGAGAATAAATTTGGAGATGGCTAGCAAAGCATGCTGAGGGTAAATGACAGCTTTTAGCTATCTTCCTCTATCCTGCACGCAGGTTTTCATTGTCACTAGCCTACAATGCCTAAAATTCTAAGTGAAACTGCCTGAGCATGGTGCCTACACCCGTAATCCCACCCAACTCAGGAGGCTAAGGCAGGGGGAATGCCAAGAGTTTGAGGCCAGCCTGAGCTACAGTGTGAGTCCCTGTCTCCAAAACCAAACCAAGTAAAACAAAAAGGAAACAGACCAAAACAGTAAACTTACATACAGAGTGAAAAGGAAATATGCTACTATGCTGTCAATAAAGTATACTGTGGGAAGCTCATTACAGCATGCTAGTTTCCTCAGCGTCTAAGCATCTACCTGCTGCACGGAGGGTTAGACGTTTGACCAGACAGAGGGTAATCAGTGTGATTAGTGAGGGCTGGATGGACTGAGGGAGCTAATGGTAGAAGATGCTAAGGGAAGGGCTCCAGAAAAAGGTGGAAAGAAAGAAAATCAAAATAGAGAAAAATCTTTTGAAAATACAGAATTCTGTCCAAAGCAGCCTCAGGCCCAGGTGAGTGAAAGTTAGCCCTTCCCTATCTTACACTGAACATGGAGAATATTCCATCGCAAATGCTTAAAAATAAGGCTTCACAAAGATACTAACAGTTACAATACCCAATCACAAAATGGGGTGTTCCCTGATGTTTCAACCACAGACTGAAATTTTCATAAGATGGAAGGGCTCCATCATGCAATGTGCAAGCTTTCACCCCCAATACAAGCAAGATCCTGTCACTACCTCAATGACAAAAAAATGATCTAAAACATTCATTGTTTCTTATAAAACATGTACATACAGTGTACATGAAATACATGGAGATTGTGTCCTGCTAAGAACTTTGTAATGGCACTTCTTAAATAAACCAGGACCAATGGACACCTGATTAGTATGGTTGCTTTCCAACTTTAGAGCTCATGGAGCTGTTTGGCATTGCTTTTCCTATACCAAATACACCACATTTGTGCTGAGTGAGTGGGAAACACAGTCCGTCCTGACCACATTTGTTTTTACTAAACAGACCAAGTGTGTTCAAATGCTAGGTTCCACGGAGGACTTCTTCAAAATCACTGGCACAGTGAACAGTCTCTGGCTGTCACATACTTTACAATAAATTCACACTGCAAAAGCTTATATACCTTCCATGTCAGGAGGAACAAGGTGATCACAGCAGAGAAGAGAGATGAATCAAAGAAAGTAAGCAATAGGCCTGAGCAGGTATTGGGATGCCTAATTACAAAGTCATAATTGTGTCACACAAATCCTTCAAATACTTTAAAGTGATAGGCAAATTAGTAATGCTGTTCTCTTGATGGAAAAGTATTAGTGAAATAGCGGGAATCACATATATGACTTAACGAAGAGCCTTTTCCTTATTCTCAACACCTAGGAAGAATGGACAGATAAAAAGTCAGGTAGCAATCGGAGATTATCAGTATATAAATGTAATTCCCCATCTAGTTCTGGGAAAACACCACCACCACAGTTTTTTCAGTAGTCACTATGAAGCCAATATTATGTCAGGCATGTCGATAATCTCATTTTGTTTTTAACAGACATTCAAAATAGCTATTATTTATTACACTAGAAAAACCAAGGAGCACAGGTTAGGTGACCTTTCCATGTGACAGGGACAGAGCACACATGAGGGTAGGGTGTGCTTCTTAAACTTTACCATGCTAATGTTGCAAGTCAAAATTCCATCTGAGAGCACACAGAATTACCAAACGGCTGCAAGAGAGGAGTGTGAATTGGCCTAATGAACAGCAAACACAAATGAAAAAAACAGGGTCCTCTTAAGGACCCTGGTTTCAATGTTTCATACGACTACTTACTTCCATATGCTACAGTTACACGTTACACACAGATTTCCATGGCCGAGGACTTAGTGTTTACTTACATGCGTGCGTTTATTTGAAATAGCTCTTTGTAACTGTAGCAATTAATTTCTGCCTTGGGAACCAGGTGAACCCCCAGAGAACTTTGTGGCAACAAATGACAAGGAGCCTGAACACTGAGGGTTCAGGAGATCTCTTTCAGCTCTGCCTCAGCTCCTACACACCAACACCCATGCAGCCGCCTCTAAAGTCCAGTAAGAAAGGCAATCCGAGCGAGTTCTTACATACCTCAATACACACTGGGGTTAGAGTGGGATGGGAGTGCCTGAGTCTAGAAGTGAAACAGCACGAGAAAAGCAGATGGAATCAATGTATGTATTTTTAAGAGTTCCACAAAGCTAAGACATGGCTCCCTCTCTAAAAGATAATTCTGACTTTTGAGTTTCTAGGACTGGGCACGTAGCTCAGTGGCACAAGTACACGGTGCTGGGTTCAATCCCTAGCATCGGAAAGAAGAAAAATAAATAGGTAAGCTATTTATAGACTCTAATTCAGGAAATACAGATTCAACATGCTAGAATCTTATCCTGCAACATTTTATTTATGGTTGTTTCTAATAAAAGATTCTTTTATATTATATATTTAAAGTCACTATTAAAATGAAAACACAAAATTACATTATTTTAGATCAGAAATTTCTACTGGTAATCTAAGTCATCAAAGACTTTTCAAAAACTGCTGGACATGAAAACTACTCTTAAACTTTTCATTTTTATCTACTTCTGTTTTTTCTACAATGTTATTCAATCAGTAGAGTCATTCTCTACTTTTATATTCTTATATGGTCTACTAAGTACTCACACAAACTACATAAATCTACTTATATTGTTTTATAATCCTTTTCTACATTTATAGAACAGACATAGTTGAAAATAAAGACACCATTCCTAACAGAATAACTACTGGCTAAAAATAAACACTAACATCTCTAAAATATGGAGAACGGTTCATGTTTAGATAGGATTGCTTCAACTTAGCCTATCGTTACATCTATTCCTTTACCAAGATAAACATCTCCTTTACCATGGCATTTTCTTCGTTTGGATGAGGGCTCATCTCTGTCAGAGTTCATGATGTAACTGGAGAGATGGATTAAGGATGTGTTGCTCAGATGGTCAGGTCTCCAATTGTAGTACTGAAACTGAATTCCAGACTCAAAAAGAAGAGGTGGTCTACAGTTCAGTGAGAAATGCCTGCTACTCAGGTATGGGTAAGGAGCACGTGAGTAATGGCCAGGCCACCTCAGACAACCGGAAATGTGTCTGTTCCAGCAATACCTCTGCAGATCCTCACACGGTGTGGTCCAGTCTTGACCCAAACTCTTCAGAGGATAGGGAAACATGGAATACCTAGAAGAAATAAAGATACTCCTTGAGGTACCACTTTTTGTTTAGCTATAGTACATAAAATCCAAACTATTTTCTTCAGGTGAGATGTCATCTTATATTTAAATTTACTTCTAAATCTGTGAAGGATAGCTAGTCAGTAGTGGTGCACTGTGGTGATCTAACAAATAAAGCTTGTCTGAAGATCAGAGTGTAAAACTAGCCACACCAGTTAGCCACAGAGGCCAGGCAGTGGTGGTACATACCTTTAATCCCAGAAAAAGGAGGCAAAGGCAGATAGATCTCTGTCAATTCAAGGCTACATGAAATTGATCCAATCTAAAAGAGAAACACAGCTCACACTTTTAATCCTAGCACTAAAGAGGTGGAGACAGGAGTGATGTGACTGGGCAGAGAGAGGAGACCAGAGAGAGAAGCAGTCTAAGGAGCAGTGCAGTCTGAGGACAGCATCTTCCCTTCAGTCTGAGCATTGTAGAAGTGAGAACTCTGTAGTGGCTGGCTGCTTTGCTTCTCTGATCTTCAGGATTGACCCAATATCTGACTCTGAGTTTTTATTATTAAGAACTATTAGGCCAGGCGGTGGTGGTGGTGGTGCACACCTTTAATCCAAGCATTTGGGAGGCAGAGGCATATGGATCTCTGTAAATTTGAGACTGGTCTGGTCTATAAGAGTTAGTTCTAGAACAGGCTCCCAAGCTACAGAGAAACCCTGTCTTGAAAAACAAACAAACAAATAAACAATTAGAATTAGTGCTACAGTGCACACCTTTCATCCCAGAACTGGGGAGGCAGAGGCAGGTAGATTTCTGAGCTCGAGGTCAGCCTGGTCTACAAAGTGAATTCCTGAACCGCCAGGGCTACTAAACAAACAAGAACCCCAAATCCTTGGGATGGAGGGATGGCTCAGTGGTTAAGAGCACTGCTGTTCTTCGAGAGCATCCGTGTTCAATTCCCAGCACTCACGTGGTGGCTCACAGCTGTTTGTATTTCCAGTTCCAGGGGATCTGATGCCCTCACAGAGACAAAAGACTGATGCACATAAGGATGAAGGGAAGCATGCATGGTTAACTAAGCACCAATACCTCAATGCTCTCTCCCTAAACAGCCATTGTTGGTATTCTCAATACTCAGCAAGAAAATACCAGTGAGGTTCCCAAGACACCATATATGCCCAAAAACATCCATCCACAATTCACTGAGAAGTTAAACCACTAACATAGTAGTATTTAGATTTCTAGCACCAGAAACTCAACAGACAAATAAAGCCCACAGCAAACAAAACTAAATATTAGAATGTAGGAAAAGGTGTGTCTCCTTCAAACTTGAGTAAAAACATATTTTGGAATAGTGGGTTATTTTGTTTTTGAGATAGGATTTCTGTGTAAAACAGCCCTAGCTGTCCTGGAACTCACTCTGTAGACCAGGTTGGTCTTGAATTCACAGAGATCCACCTGCCTCTGCCTCCAAAGTGCTGGGATTAAAGGCTTGTCACCACTGCCAGGTTTGGAATATTATTTTTATGCTGAAGTTAAATTCTTCCCAAACACCTGTAAAGCTAAAATATAAAAATCGTGGAAGGGTTCTGACTTGACAAAGCTACTTCCCTTACTAACCCATGGGTGGAGAACATGCTTTTCCATTCTTAGGAATATTTCCACTATTTCCTCATTCTTAGGAACACAGCCCCACAAGGGTTATTTACCAGGAATCCATCTATACTCCATGCTCAGTGGTATGCATTTAAGCAAAGCACTCTAAGATCACTTCCTGTGTGTAAAGGTGCATGTGCTTGTGTGCCCAGAGGCTCACATCAGCTATCTTCCTCTATTGTTTTTGACCTTATATTTTTAGACAAGAGCTCTCATTGAACTTGGGAGCTCCAACTATTGAGGTTATAAACACAAGTTTCCAGCAAAGGTCCTTGTGCTGTACCAGACAGCACTTAACGAGCAGAGCCATCTTCCCAGCTCACCAGGCTTGTGTTTAAGAGCTGGCTGCTCTCAACTTTCAGAAAGCACCGAATCTTTCTTATTGCATTCTCTGGCAAAATGTTAGGATTCAGACGACTATCACCAATAGGATTCTGCTTGAGTTGCATTTACTACAAGCTATCTTTCATTTGAAAATATTTAGCTTTGTTTATATATTTGAGACTTAATAGTCTCAAACTGCTCTCTAAACCAAACTGACTGAAAATCTTTATTTACACTATCTTGCTGCTGGCCATCAATGTCATTCAGCACTTGGACCTTTTTATTTTTTAAATTCAAAAAGAATTTTTTGAATCAGGCATAGTGGCACACACCTTTTGATCCCAGCACTCAGGATGCAGAGTTCAAGACCAGCTGGTCTACAGAGTTAGTTTCAGGACAGGCTCCAAAGCTATAAAGAAACCCTGTTGTCTCAAAAAACAACAACAAAAACAAAAAAACAAACAACCCAAACCTTTTCTTTTTGAGACAGACGTACCATGCAGGACAGGTTGGTCTTGAACTCTTAAATCCTGTTTCACACCCGCACCCTCAGTGCTCAAGTTGTCCTTTTCCATCTTGGTATGTAATTATACTGCCACCTGCACTGTGGCACGTATTCTTTGGATTGACAGTTATTTATACCATTATCTTTTTTGAGGACCAGAACCTCTCTATTTACTAAGCCCAGTCTCTACCCAGAGGCTGTACAATGCCAGACACACCGCTGGTACTTAGAAAACACTGTTCAACTGAGTGCCATAGGAACCAGTCATAACGGAGTTATGTAATGATGCTGTGCTATTTCCCACGCGTGGCACACCAGACGGTTTTAAAGGTTACACAAACCTTTGGAACATTAGCGTACAAGTCTTTCAAGTTTATTAGAGAAAACCCACAATCCCAATCCGTGCATCAAATCTGAGATTCCGCGAGCACTATTTGGGGTGACACTAATAGAGGCAGCACGTACTGTTGGCGCTTTAAAATTTAAAGTGAGCAATTTTTTTAATTTTGGAGGCGGAGTTTTACTCTAATCCCAGGCTACCCTCAAATTCATAGCTATCCTCCTGCCTCAGCCTCCTGAGTGTTGAGCCATCTCGCCCGACTCTCAATGAAATGAATTTAAAGAAAAACTCCCGGGATGGGGCGAGAGCTTGAGGGTGCCGGTGAAAGTTGGCCTCCGCGCGACCGAAGTTTGCGAGCAGAGGGCAATGGCCCAGCCACCCTGGGGCGCGCAGCCTCCGTCCGGGCCAGGCTCGCGCGCGGGCGGCGGCGAGCATGGAGGCCGCGCGAGCGTAGCCGGACCCCGGAGGCCGCCGCCCGCCCAGCCGGCCACCCGGCCGGCCAGCCGCCCGCGCGTTACCTCTCCCTGGGCGCCGCCAGGCGCGTCCCCGCGCGGACCCTCTTCCTCCGCCTTCCTCCCGCGCCCGCCCCGCCCCGCCCCGCCGCGGGCCGCCCGCCCCTCCCCGTCCGCCGCCCGCCACTGACCGGCCTCGCCCCGCCACACAGCGGCCGTAGCCCCTCCTCACACAGCGCCACGTCTCCATCTTGGCTGTCTGCGCGCGTGCAACGCCCAGGCCCGCGGCTGCGCCTCAGCCCCGGACGCTCGCAAGGCCCCGCCGCATCTCCACCGCTCCGGTTCGGCTCGGCTCGGCTCGGCTCGGCTCGGCTCGGCTCGGCTCGGCTCCGGACCGGCCGCTAGGCATGCTGGGAGGAGCGTATCGCCACAGGCTGGGCCGCCATCTTGCCTTCTGGGCAATTCCTTAGGCGGCACGGCTCTAGGCATGCGCAGAGCGTGCGCGCGCAGCCGTTTCTGCGTAGGGCAACTTTCCGGACCGCCTTTTAAAGGAACAGAAAGCTGTTTCCGGACGGCTTTATTAAGACCTAGTCTGGCCCCCGGTGGTGGTGCACGCCTTTAATCCCAGCACTGGGGAGGTAGAGGCAGGTGGATCTGTGTTCGAGTGCAGCCTGGTCTACAGAGCTACTTCCAGGACAGGCTCCAAAGCAATTCAGAGAAACCTTGGAAAAACAAAAAGTCTGGGCTGGTGTGACTTGATTTGCTTTTACGTGCTTGGTTGGATCCAAACCTCGTTAAGGAAATACTCTCCTGTGGGTTCCCGTCGAACTGCGGGCTTCAGGTTTTTATAAACGCGTTTGGGGAAATGCATCTTTTTAAATTTTATTTATTTATCATGTATACAGTAGAGTCTCTGCATGTATGCCCTCAGGCCAGAAGAGGGCATCAGATCTCATTACAGATGGTTGTGAGCCACCATGTTGTTCCTGGGAATTGAACTCAGGACCTCTGGAAGAGCAGCTAGTTCCCTTAACCTCTAGCCATCTCTCCAGCTCCTGGGGAAATACATCTTAACAAGATTACTGAGATTCACTGTAGAAAAATTAGTTCCACTGTGTCCCAGACCATATTTAAAAGAAGCTTTTACTACAGGTTAAATAATGACCAAGATGGAACTTGGGCAGGACCACTCCCTGGAACTTTGAAGCTGAGCAGCCCTGCGATCCCTGTTGTGCTTTTATGCTCGGAGACTCAGGCCACCGTACTTTCTCATTAGATTTTGCTATTGTGTTAAGAACTACAACTCCGAGAATCCCGGGAAATTGCCGGTCTTTGGGCAGGTGGGGCTATCAGTTGACTTAGGATATAATAGAAAACCCACTTGTACGGGAATGTGTGATTATGTGTGTCTGTGACACTAACTTTAATGGAGAGAGGACACAGGAGAATGGGAGCCCAAGGCAGAGGGCACCAGGAGCCAGGGTGCTGCTTACCTACGTTCTTTAGTAGAGTTGTGTAGTAAGTAATTTCTTGGGAATTTTTTTTTTTTTTTTTTTTTTTTTTTTGTTTGTGTTTTTGCCTTGTGTTATTTTTGAGAAATACGTTATTTTCAGTGCATAGTTGATTCTATTTATTTGCAGTAGTTAAATTGTGTAAACATGCCACATGTTTAGTGAATTATGAGGAAAGTTAGGAGTGTCCTTAATTCCAGTTCCAGGGAATCTGATGCTCTCTTCTGAACCCTGTAGGCGCCAGGCATGCAGGTAGTTCACAGACATTCTAAGGCAAAACACCAAACCTTTAAAAAAAAAAAGTAAAAATATAAAAAGAATTTAGTGCCAGGTGTTCTGCTGTAAGTGGGGCATATGACCCCTTTCTTCCCAAGGCTCATGGGTCATTGCAGGAGGGAGCAGAAATACTGTAAGGGACAGAGATGGTGGATGGCTGTAGGGAAACTTTTCCAGACATAATGGGGTAGTTGTACACACAGACTCAGCAATGGTTATGATAGCATGCACAAGACCTGTGCAAAATCAGGTCAAACAAAATTCTAGCAATTCTAGCATGGATGTGTGATGTCAGGATGTCTCACTCCTCGTTGAGAAGCCTTGGCAGCTGATGGCTGTTGGGAGAGGGAAAAGTGGGTTTTCTTCAGGGATGCATCCCTCATAGTCCAGTACATGGCCCTGTCCTCATAAGTGGACCTGGAGGATTTAAAAGAAAAAGGCACATGAAATCAGAAGAAAAGCATGGAGGAATTGGAGGGCAGGGGATGGATTTGATCAATACATTATATGCACAGATGACATTCTCAAACAGTATTTTAAAAAGGTTCAGAAACTTGACTTTACTGGGCTTGGTTGTGATAGCACAGGAACAGACATGAATGACACCTGGTTCATCTAGCCTTTCGCCGGAAAGGAAGTATTTTGGAGCCTGGACACTCGCCGAAACCTGAAGACCCAAACAGTGTTTGTTGCCCTGGGATTGCCAGGCGAATCTGGATCAGAAAGAAGGCACCGAGTGGACTGTGACTAGAAGCAGAGAAAATGGGGCCAGGGATGCAGCCAAGTTGGTAGACTGCTTGCCCTGCATGCACAGGGTTCTGAATTTGATCCCCAATGCCACATGAACTGGGTGGTTCATGCCTGTAATGCAAGCATTCTGAAAATGGAAGCAGGAGGAGAGGGTGTTCAAAGTTATGTAGGGGACTCAAGGCCAGCCTGGGATACCTGAGATCCTATCTAGAAAATACAAATAATAAGCATCCTAGAAATAGTTATCAAAATGTAGCAGAGAAGAAAGTAGTATTCAAAATCTGAATTTTGAGCCATAGTGGATAACTTAGAAAATCCCTGGAAAGTAGCTTTCAAGTTTCTCAGCAGGAGAGGAGCCAGGCCAAAGCAGGTGTGACAGGAAATCGGTGCCCAATGGGAAGGACCAGCCTACTTTGCCCCAAGTGTATGAATTCTTCCTTGGTTGTAGAGGGCGGGACCAGGGCAGGGACACAGCACTTGTGGTTTGCTAACCAGCTCAGATAATCTTCTCAGATAGTGTGACTCCATCTCTATAGATTCCAGTGGATTCTAACTGCACTGGCAGTCATGATCTATTCACTCACCCAATTAGTCCTACTCTCGAGACACAACATATACAGTTGAAGCACTTGCCATCTCTACAGCTCCAACCATGTCCTAATGCTTCCCCTGCCCATGTCTATCAATACAAGTATTTTAAACATGATTTTACAAGTTTTAAAGCTATAAAAATGATATCACACCCTGTAACTTCCCACAACTTATTTTCACTGTCAACACTATTTTAATATTTAATTATATTAGAGCTACGGATATAGTTCAGTGTTAGGATACTTGGCTAGAATGCTCAAGGTCCTAGGCTCAACCCCCAGCAATTCAAAAGACAACATAATTTATTTTATATTTTATTATATTTTATTATAAGGGACTGGAGAGATGGCTCAGCAGTTAAGAATACTCTTTGTTTTTACAGAGGACCTGAATCCAGTGCTCAGCGTCCATATCAGGCAGCTCATTTACAAGCTCCAGGGGATCCAATGCCTATGGCTTCCCAGAGCACTCACAGCATATAGTGACACACAGCACAGACACACATACATATAATTAAAGATAATAAAGTTTTAGCTGGGTGGTAGTGGCATATGTCTGTCTCAAAAAGCCAAAATAATAAAAAGCTCTATTCATGGCTTATTTTCAGCATACAACATTCCAAACATGTCATCAATGCTTTTAGAAACATTGTCCATATTTTTGGTGTTTCTTTGTACATTCTTGAGGGTGTAGTTACCAAAGTTGTTGGATACAAATTTGTTCCTGATTCACTATCAACTTGCTCTCCACATTAACTGTTCATGCTCTAGGAGAGTACAGAAACTCCTGTTGCCCCATGTAGTGATTTCATTTCTATTTATGAGAGAATTTATTTCCTTCCTCTTTCCTTTCATCCTTTCTTCCCTTTGTTGAGACAAGGGTTTGCTCTTCAGCGCAGAACTCACTATGTAGCCAGGCTGGCCATATATGATGAATATATATATATATTCATCATATATATATATATATATATATATATGAGTTGTGGGATGTACTTCTGTATGTTGTAAATATGTATTTCTTTTATTGGTTGATGAATAAAAGCTCTTTCGGCCAATGGCTAAGCGAAGTAATACAGCCAGGCTGGAAGTCCAAACAAAGAGACAGAGAGAAGGAAGGCTGGGTGGGCAGTGCCATGTAGCCACCAAGGAGGTAAGATGTAGATGTCAGGGCATTACCTGTAATCCACAGCCATATGGTGATATATATATATATATATATATATATATATAGAGAGAGAGAGAGAGAGAGAGAGCACTATCTAGTAATGAGTCTAAGATATTGGCCAAACAATTATATTAAGTCTCTGAATGGTTATCTCAGGGACCTGGTGGGCAGAGAGAAATTGGTCCAGGGGTGCCAGGCAGAATACATAAAAGCCTCCAACTACGCACACACACACACACACACACACACGGTCTAGGCTGGGCATGGTGAGGCATGTCTTTGATTCCATTCCTTGAGAGGTAGAAGTAGACAGATCTCTGTGAATTCAAGGCCAGCCTGGTCTACATAGTGAGACCCTGACTCAGGAAAAAAGAAAAAAGGATACTGTACATATGAAATTATATTTATTCTGGTCAGCACTCTGGGCTTTTATGCAAAGATTAATTTCTTATTCAGTATGGGGATATTGGCTTCTACTTGTTCTCCTGCCTGTGCCCTTCCACCGACCTACTTGTACTCAGCAGTCTAGAAGCTCTTCAACCAGTCCTCCCTCCTCTTTGGGTTTTGTTTTTGTTAGTGGAGATGCTGCACATCACTGTCCTCTAAACCAAACACCCACCACCTTAGTTCAGCTGTGCCTGCTTCTAAAGATCGTTATAGCTGGGCTTGTGAGTGCCGACTTCGTACAGAAGAAACAAGTGGGCAGAGGCATGAGATCCTGACCTAAGCATCCAGCTACTCCTCCCAACAGTTGTATGCAATTCTGCAACAGGGTGAGGCTAGAGTATATAGGCCAGAGACACCAGGGAGGGGAGCTGCATCGATGTGGTCATCCCCTGGAAAGCTCTCTTCCTTGCTGGGTGACTCCTTTGAAGTGCAGCTACTTCTGGATATCTCCTGCTCTAGTCAGCAACTCCTAAGAAAATACTCTCATTGGACTCTCGTTTCCCTGATGGGGAGGGGCAACTTTGGTAGAACCAGAATGAAGTTTTTCACTGGGACCTTAGGAGAGGGGGTTAGACTTTGCCTAGGCC